TACATGGCATAGTGTTATATTCAATGCAGGAAAAAACACTTTATACAATTTAAATACATACAGTTATTGTTTATTAGACAAAATGAAACGAAGTGGAAGATTGTCTTTATTTCTGCACAATCTATAAAGCTCCTCGATTACTTTAATTGCTCTTTCAGCACATTGATTACTTCTGGGAATGTTGATTGCTGATGGTTCTGGATTCCAATGACTTGTAAATGTAGCAAGAGGTTTCTTTTTGTTTAATAAAACTTCATGAAGGTCTGAATAAGTGTTTTCTTTATAGGTTTGGTCGTCAAACCAAAAGTCTGCCCACTTGTAAGAAATAAAGGTACATACAGATTCAAGTTTGTTTCTTGTTTTTGGCATAAGAATGTAGGCTAACAACGCTAAAATAGCTCTTGAACTCCACCGAGCATTACTGATATTAGGGATTTTTTGAAATCTTACATTAGGAAATATTTTATTTTGGTCATAGTATCGGTAGGTTCTCGTCAGATGAAACAGAAACTTCATTTCATCTCGCCATCCTCCTGTGTCTTTTATTTCTTTTGTACCATTATAAAAATTTGTCTTCAGTGTTTCATAATGTTCTAACAACTCGTTAGTAAAAAAGTAATTAATGTTTGGTAAGTTTGGATTTTCTCCCAATTTTTCTTCCATTTCTAGTCTAAGTATTCTATCCAAGATATGATGTTGACATGGTACAAATTGAGGTTTTTGTAATCCTTTTTTTTGAAAAATATCCTGAAGTTTTATAACAACACCATTTTTCTTTCCGGTATTGACATTTGTAGTATCTGTCACAATTATTTTAATTGAATTCCATAGTTTAAATTCATCTATAATATCAGCTATGGCATTAATAATAGTGATAGATTTTCCATCGATTAACTTCAGTGCGCCTAACTTTATTTCGCTTCTTTCATTTTTAAGAACAACAACCTGATACTCCCATTGGTCTATATGCTTTCCATCGAAGTGTAGACTCCAATTCTCATTCTTTAAATCTTGAATTAAAGTTTCTTTAAATTGTTTTGCTTCATTAAAAAGAGCCTTGTATATTCCAGACTGTGATGGCGCTGGAAAATGTATGCCTTCTGAGGACAGTATTTTACCTATTTTAGAAGCTTTCTTAGTTGATACCTTAGCACAAACCACTAACTTTGTTGCTATTTTAAAACTACTATATTTTTTAAGTCTTTTCTTCAAATTATTATATTCTTCATCTGTAATTTCATTATCTATCTCAAATTGTTCATCAGTTTCTTCAAATTCGGCACTAGAGTTGTCTCTTTCTATTTTACTACTTTCAGTAAATGAAGAAAAACTTTTAGATGCTGAAGGTTGGCTGGAAAGTTTTTGCACAATTGATGGATGAATAGTCTTCTTTCCTGCCAGCTTTGAAGTAGCATATCCAATTTCTCCTTTGCTTTGTAACTGAATTTCATAAAATCTTTTATCTTCAGATGATAACCAAATGCCATTTTGATTTGTTGTATCAAAAATCTCTTTTTGCAGAAGGTCGGCATTCCCTTTTTTCTGAGACTTTCATATTTTTCTATAACATCATTAATCTTTCGCTTCACTGACTGCTCTGTCGGACATGGGAAATTTAATTGTTCTTTCCACAAACTTATAACTTCTTTTGAAATAAGATCTATCCTTTGCTTTTTGGCTTTCACATCAGTACTAGACAAATACTTAAACCTGCTAACAATATCACTTTTTAATAGCATTTTGGAATATTCTTGAAAAGATGTTTCTAACATTGGAAACTGTCTACTTTTATGCGAATCTTGAAATTTCACAAGATTTTTTTTATAAGTCTCTTTATTTTTTTCAACACTTGATTGGCAGTATTTGTAAGCCATTTTAATTAAAAGCAGCACAAAAAAATCTGAAACTAATTAATAAACAATTAGGCACGGCAGTGAAAAACTAGAAATTATAAAGTGGTAATGCATACGTCTGGTATGTATTTAAAATTATATATATATAATATATATTAACCGTCTATATATATTTTATTATATATAATATAATAATATAATATAATAAAATATATATAGAGGGTTATGACTTCTTTAACTTATGTTTTCTGGCCCATATGTAATATGTATAGTATATTATATTCCTATCTATATTTGTATTAAAAAACATTTTAGCCGAGGGGCGTGACATTTTTTTACACTTGAAGGAAAATAAACATTTCTTCATTATTTTATAGCAAAAACTCATCCAAAAATAATATGGGGTTGTCTAAATTGTATAAAAAGTTTAAAAAGTCATATCCTTAAAATATACATATATATATATATATATATATATATATATATATATATATATATATATATATATATATATATATATATATATATATATATATATATATATATATATATATATATAAATATATATATATATATTTGCGTCTTTTTCGTAACTGCACATTCCAGAATGCTCCTTCCGTAAGGAACTATTTCGTAAGTATTCTTACGAAATGATTTGTTTCGCAAGGTTTTTTTTCGCAATGCTTTATTACGGAATTTTATTTATTTATATTTTCGTATAGTGCGTTACGGAATGTGCATTTTCGTATGAGCAACTTCCGCAATAACAATTCTATTACGGTAGATAAAGATGCGAATTTTTTGCAAGTGTTGTTTTTCGGCGAACAACCCTACTATAAACAGCCGTGTCTGATTTCTCTTGTGATAAAATCAAAAGTCTTTAACAAATTTGAACAACACTTTTTGCTATTAACTATCCCATGCTGTTCACTTGCTAATAATATATTAAAAGTCGAATGGTTCGTCAAAACATTGCAAATAATTGTCTCCATAATTTTGCAAACTATTGATGTTAATAATATTGGTCGATAATTTGAAAGATCTAATTTGTTTCTTTTTTTTTAACAGTTGAGTTATGTTTACAATTAAACATTTGGTATAACACCACTATTATATGACACTTTATAGATTAGTGATAACGGGTGAGAAAGTGATTTTGAACATTCTTTGAAAATACGAGGATAAACTTTGTCAACACCAACTGCTTTATTTACATTAAGGTTTACTAAATGATATTCAACATCAGTGTCATTAAATTTTGGATCGCTACAAAAAATTTTATATTTTGAAGGAAAAGTTACAGGGTCTAATATGTCATCTTTCAAAAATACTGAAACGAATTACAACTTGCAATATCTACCTCATTTGTTATAATTGAACTAACTTATAAATATGAATAAACACTTTTTGGGTTTTTTGAATTTTTAGTCAGATTTTAATTATTGAATTTAATTCAAAAGTTCTTATATCTTTACTAACTCTTTTTTTTTACATTTTTATTGTTTTTTATTACGTTAGTTTCTTTAAATTTTGAATGCCTGCATTTGTACCATAACTTTTCTTTTAACTTAATCATTTTCCTCTTTAGTCTCTTTAGTCATCAATGGATCATATTTTTTTACTTGTATGATAATTTATTTTATAATTATAGTTGGAATAAATTTTTATTACATCCAGTATGATACATATTTAGCCATTTTTTCATTGGCTTGATTAGCATTTAAATCCTTAAACTCTTTTTCCCAAACTTTGAAAGTTTTTTATAATTTCATTATGTATAACAATTTCGTCTTTTCTTTTTGGTTTTTAATCAAGATTGATATTTTTATTAATATTTATGAAGTTCAATATACGGTGTCCATATTCAATTCCACCTAGAGGAGGTAAGTGATTCAAACAGAAAACCCGATCACTACTTTCAGATAAGTCTAAGTCTAATAAATTTGTAACAAACCCAATGCTAACTTGAAATGTTGGCAACAAGACATTTTGATATAAAAAGCAATCACTTAAAGATTCTATAAACTCTAACGCGCTTAAGTCTGAATAATTTTTAAGTTTACAGGTACCATCATTACATCATCATTTTATATTTAAAAAATTGAAATCTCCACAAATTAGAACTCCAGAGTATTCGCCATTTTTTCATTTTTTTCATTTTAGATTTAGATTAGATTTTCATTTTATATATATATATATATATATATATATATATATATATATATATATATATATATATATATATATATATATATATATATATATATATGAGTATTCATTTTTTTCTTTATATGCATGTCAAATAGATTTTGTTATTTTCTGGCAACTCAAAATAACACTAGCACTAATTTGATATATACATCCACATAGAACGTTTTCCAGACCAATCTCTAATGAATACTATACTTATTCAAAAGCATTATCAATTAGACAGTTTTTAGTTACAGCCCGGTGGGAAATCGGCTAGCGAATAGCTAGCTACAATCATTAAGATAAAGACAGCGATTTGGCCACAAAGATCGCTAGCTTTTTTAAGTTAGCGAAAAGCTATCAATATTTTTAAAGACAAAGACAGCGATTTGGCTAGGAGGACAGCTAGCTTAATAAGCTGATGATCCACTGGCTATTGTACCTAGCGTCATATCGTAATAAAATCGCTGTCTAAAAATTTTTAATATGCAGCAATCAACCTGTTATAGACATGTAGATATTTTGTAGCTAGCTACAAAACTACGATATGTAGCTAGCGACACATTGCTACAAAATCGTAATGTTTAAAGTTCAATTCTTAAAGATGTTAAAGACATTTGCAATAAATAAAATAAGAAAAAAAAATCGCTTGAAAATCGCTATTGTACCCACTGTGTAATGAAATAAAACGATTAATAATTATTAATATAAGAAGTGCTGTGGCAAATGGGTGGGAAGCCTTCCTACCCCAAAACCTGTCATTAAAGGCCCAATAAATCTTAAAAACTTTCTATAATTAGATATTACTAAGAAAAATTAAAAAAAAAAAAAGGCTTAAAATTTTTTATTTTATTATAAAAAATCTAGCGCATTTGTTTGGGTGCCAAGCGACATTGTGTCTACTTGCGGAGAAATCTGATGCCCTTACCAAAATGTTCAGCACACATAAATCATACGTACTTATGCAAACATATATTTGTGCTTTAATGTGCTTTTACAATAGAATAAATTTTTAAAAAAAACTGTATTTTTACAAGAATTCATTTACAAGCGTTATTAAATTAAGTCAGTGAAAAAATTACCAACAGGTTCTGCGCGTATCTTTAACCATAAATATTTTCGATAAATATCTTTCTTAAACTTAACATACCAAGGTACTTTAGGTAAATTATTTAACTCTTCTCGATACGATGCAATCTCCTCTAAAGAAACTCCAAGGTCGTTGATATGAATATACTTGAAATCTACGCCGTACATTTTCGAGCAAGATGTTGTTAGATCAAGAAGTTCTTTACAGTGACGAAATAAAGTGACATCAGTATTCTTTAGCAATCTCTCAATCATTGCGGCAAATTCATTTTCAAATTCTTCTGATAACTTAACCAAGTCACGTTGCAGTGACAGCTTCAGATCTAAAAATTGATACAAATTTCAAATATTTATGCTCATAAATGTCAAAACTATATATTTAAAACATTTTGATTAGATCATGTGATTTGAAGTCCGATTTTAATTTAAACGATCACGTGATTTATATATATATATAAAACATTCACGTGAAGTATATATATATATATATATATATATATATATATATATATATATATATATATATATATATATATATATATATATAATGTTAGTGTACTCTACAAATTGAGTGCTCAATGATCTTTAAGGACAGAGCAATAATAAATTAGTGAAAAAGACTTGTCTAATTTTCTTCAACAAGTTGTTTCGCTATCAGTAGGCTCATCAGAGACATCCTTCCTGATGAGCCTACTAATGGCGAAACAACTTGTTGAAAATTAGATAAGTGTTTTTACTTATATATATATATATATATATATATATATATATATATATATATATATATATATATAATATATATATATATATATATATATATATATATATATATATATATATATATATACATATATATATATATACATATATATATATATATATATATATATATATATATATATATATATATATATATATATATATATATAATACATATATATATATATATGTATATATATATATATATATATATATATATATATATATATATATATATATATATATATATATATATATATATATATATATATATATATGTTTGCTAAAATCAGAACAGTATGTAGAGCAATCTTGTAAGCTTATACAGAAATCTTTCCAATCTAGAATGTTTATACGCCATTGAAGAATATGAACTTTTCAAAAAACTATATATATATATATATATATATATATATATATATATATATATATATATATATATATATATATATATATATATATATATATATATATATATATATATATATATGTATATATATACATATATATATATATACATATATATATATATATATATATATATATATATATATATATTATACATATATATATATATATATATATATATATATATATATATATATATATATATATATATATATACATATAATATATATATATATATATATATATATATATATATATATATATATATATATATATATATATATATATATATATATATATATATATATATATATATATATATATATATATATATATATATATATATATATATATAGTTTTTTGAAAAGTTCATATTCTTCAATGGCGTATAAACATTCTAGATTGGAAAGATTTCTGTATAAGCTTACAAGATTGCTCTACATACTGTTCTGATTTTAGCAAACATAACATTAGGAATGATATGTGAGTTTCTGACGGTGATAAAGAAATCATAACGAACTTTTTATACAATAAAAAAGACTCTATAATGTGCGGCTGAAAACCTTTTGCTTAGTTTCTAAGTTGCACTGGCCTCCAATTTTACAGTGCGTGGAGGAAAACGTCAATCAAAAGGTGGTTCATCTGTTTGACTTGAAGTACCATTATTTTAGATTCCAACTGAAGGTCCAACTCAAAGAACTATCATAAGATCTTTAAGTAGCATTAGAAATAACTCAAATGATTAGTTAAACACATTTCTTAAAAATGATAAAGCTACTTTTTGTGTCATCAAAAACAAGTTTATCAACAAAAGTGATCACTAATATCATGTTTTATTGTTTATAATTGATGGTTATGCTGTTATACAATCTTCACAGACTTTCAATGGACTTGTATTAATGATTAAATTAATTGAATCAATGAATCAAATTGCATCTGTTGACATATAATCAACATTTGATGAGATTCTTTGATTTTTAAGTTTCATGAAAGGATAATTTAAAAAAAGTAATTATGACATATTTAATGAAATATATTTTTTTGTTATATAAATTTATACAGCTGACAATGTTGCTCTTTTGTATATTTTTCAACATCAGAGCAGCCATGGTGCAGTGGTAGCACACTTGCCTCAGAAACAATGGATCTGTGGTTCAAACCCCATCTCTGGGCAAGTTTTGCAACATCAGTTAGGATAGAGGCATGAACTTCTAATTAAACGCTGTGCTCTGCAAAGTCCTTACGGTCTCTGATAAGACCATAAGGACTTCATGGGGCACCTAAATAAAGTTAAAAAAAGAAAAAAAAAGAAAAAAAGGGCATTATGTAAATGTTTGAGAAGTGATAACTAACTTAATGATCAATTTCAAATGTTGATCAAAATAAGTTTATTCAATTATCAATTTACTTCCAGATAATAACAGCTATCCTTTGAAGACTGTTATCAGCATGGGAAAAGAAAATAGTATACTTTGCAAGGTTCTTAAGGTGCCTATTTTCAGAATGTTCAACAAGCCATTGAAAAGTTGCGTATGAAATATGTTTCTTTACTTTCGAAAATAAATGTAGGCATTGACAATTTTAATGTGGAATTTGGAGATTAATGTCAGTTATGCTAATACAAATTGTTTGAAGACTATTGTAAAATTTTTTGTAACTTGCAAGATCTAAAATCTTCTATTGTTAAAGATGTCAAAACGTCATTTCTTCAACAGCTGGTTATGTTACATGAAATGATAAAGAAAGAAGTGAATATGAGTTTCTTGATCAAACAACATCCTATTATCAGAAAGATGGTCAATTTTCAAACTTTTGGATCATGGTGGATTAAAAGTTTTCAAACTTTTAGATTATGGTGGATATCTATCACAGTGGATTAAAAATTACATAAGATAACTCTTGCCAATAGATATATTTTCATTTCACAATTTTTAAATAATTAAAGATTATGATTAATTATGTTTTAAGAAAATCTTTAAGTTGTGTTTTTATAATATCTATTTATTAATTTGACATCTAAAAACAAGATTTCATTTAATGCATATAATAATATACTGTATAATAGGGTGGAGTGAAAAAACCTTTATTTAGAAATTCATTTAAGCTGGGTATGGAAAAGTTGCCTTTGGGTACAAAATGAACTGTGGTAAAAGCATTTTGCCCTAGATTAATATTTAGGTCTGCCCCAAGGTACTTGAAAATTTGAGTTTTTTGTCAATTTCGCAATTTTTGGTTTAAAAAATAATAACTTCCTACCATTGCAAATTCATGTTGGCTGGGTATGCAAAAGTTGCCTTTTAGTTCAAGGTAAACTGTGGTAAAAGCATTTTGCCCTAGGTTAAATATGGGTTTTTCATCCATTTTGTGGTTTTTGGCGAAAATTTAATAATTTCCTATAATTGCAAATTCATGTTGGCTGGGTATGCAAAAGTAGCCTTTTAGTACAAGGTAAACTGTGGTTAAAGCATTTGGCCCTAGGTTAATAATTAGGTCTGCCCCAAGCCACTTGAAAATTGAGTACTTTAATTTAAATCCATACAAAACTAATTTTGTACATATTTCAGATTGTTTAAAGGCATATTAAATAACATTACAAATGTACAAATGACTTTATTTCATGAGTTGAGATGTTCTTTGTAGCAGGGGGCTCGCTTTTCTGGACAACACTCCAGTTGATTAGATTAGTGTAGTCATCTGCTTCGAAATTAAGTTTCGGCACACGAAAGCGTCTTAGTGACTGACTGTTTTTTTCCCTTGCACCAAGGATTCTTCTGAATGCCAGTTTCCTTATGTGTTCGCGCTCATCAGTCAACATTGCAAGTAGGATGTTTTCGTAATGACTGAAATAAGCATTTCTCTGAATTACCTCATCCACAATACATCTAAAGTCATTTTTAAGGTACCTTGAAAAATTTATCATTCTCCATAGATGTGCCCCTTGAGTACAAGATGATTCTCCATAGATGTGCCCCTTGAGTACAAGATGATTTCGTCTTGATATAAAACCAAGTAGGAGCGTAAACTTTAACAACAAATGTTGCAAGAGTCACTAGATTTTCAGTTGGATCTTCCATCGAAATATATAACCGCAGAACTCTGCTAGCTGTTATCAGCCAGCGTAAGTGAACTACAGAACCTGGAGTCTTATTTGCCATATTTATTGGGCATTCACCATTATTCACTGCGTGGCACATTTTATATAAATACATTTGATCTGTGCTTAAATCTTTAAAATTTACATCTGGAAAACTATTCATCTCTATAGTTGAAAAATGCTTCACAGGAAAAGTTTCACAGATTAGAAGTAATTTACCAATTGGACCTGAGAAACTTTTTGGTCCACTTGTGGTGTCATATAACTTGCACAAAAGATGTCTAAAAGGGAGCTCATTTACATGAAGCATGCAAATGAACCAATGCAAAGGCCTATCGAGTTTCATCTCAAGTAAACGGATGACACCTCCCAACGCAACAGTGTTGATATTCGTGCCATCACAACCGACAGCTACTAAATTGTCTAGTGAAATTCCATTCGAATCACAGAAACCTACTATGCCATATGCTATCTTAACTGATGTTCCATTTTCAGGGCTTATGTGACCGACATATATTCAATGGGGCTCTTGAGTTAGTGTAACATGTTCTTCTGTAACTATTTTGTAATAATACTTGGAACCTTTCTTGAGTTGCATTTTTGTTTTTTCCTTCCTACCATCGAAGTACAAACCTGTTAGATTAGAGGCAAGGTGGGATTGAAGTTCATTTCTAACCTTATATCTTTCTCTTCGAATTTTACTTCTATCAATAACCATTGTACTGTCACAGTCATTCACGATACCAACGTCTTGCAACACGGCACTAGCAATAGCTGCAGCAGCACAATCTGAAATGCTATGGCGATCACATTCCTTTGAGATATTTGGAGTGTTTGCTCTCATCTGTTTTTTCTTTGCTGTTCCAGTAGTTGGAACCTTATGTATTGAGGGAAAATGGACATCAGTATCGTTGTCAGTTTCAGTATCAGAAGACGAACTGAATTCAACAATATTTGAAGACAATAGGGAGTTAGATGTAGTGGCTGTTGTTATAGTTTTGTAAATATTGGAAAGTTTTCTTTTGCGATTATCGCATTCTTTCAATCAATTTGTAACAACTTTATCTATACTTCCAATCATCATATTTCTTGTACTTCTTTAATCTTCCAAAAATGGTCTTTCTGCAACTGGTACTTTTCTCACAATTGCAGTGATTTATGACCAAACATTTGCAGACTGCAATGTCAAACAACTGGGAATTAGCTTCTGTACAAAACTTTTGCATCTTTGCTTGATAGTTAGGATCATTCTGTCGCCTCTTTAAGGGCTTGAGCATATTTTGATGTTTGTCATGAAGTTCTTTTATCTTCGCTACAATCCGCTTGTGTGTTATAATTGGAATCGATGCTTTGTGCCACAATGCTTCGACTTTCGATGAAACACAACTTGAAACTTCAGCAACTGAAGGGATCTCTGCAGATTTTTATGTCATTTCGTCTTTAAGGAACAAGTAATATTTCATCACACCAGCATTTGTGGGAAGAACGGTCTCTGGTAAATATGAAGGATTTCCAAAAATTTGGCAATTGGTACGCAGCCGTGTCTTGTGCTTCTTACACCCACTAACACCAGCCATTCTTGTTATTTTTGTTCGGACGTCACTCACAGATGCAAGGTTGTTTGAATTTTCTAATCTAAAATAATTTTCTAATCTAAAATAATAATATAAAAATAAAATAATTATTTCTAACATAATAATTCAAACAAAATAATGTAAATACTGAAATTTGTAATTATAGGAAATTATTAACTTTTTCTCCGAAAACCACAAAATGCACGAAAAATGCCAATTTTCGAGTGCTTTGGGGCAAACCTAAGAATTAACCTAGGGCAAAATGCTTTTACCACAGTTTACCTTGTACTAAATGGCAACTTTTGCATACCCAGCCAACTTGAATTTGCAATGATAGGAAATAATTATTTTTTAAGCCAAAAATGCCGAAATTAACGAAATATTCAAATTTTCAAGTGCTTTGGGGCAGGCCTAAATATTAATCTAGAGCAAAATGCTTTTACCACAGTTCATTTTGTACCCAAAGGTAACTTTTCCATACCTAGCTCAAATGAATTTCCAAAAAAAGGTTTTTTCACTCCACCCTACTGTATAACTTATAGCACTGAAAAAAATTTTTTTTTTTAAGTTTGTGTACCTGTTACTCCTAGATCTGGCAAAAAATCTACATTAAAAGTGTTGAATCTCTGGAGGTCTGATTGTCATAATATAATTAAAATTTATAAAAGTTTATTTAGGCTGTAATGCTGTTTTTAGATAAGTATTTTTTGTTAATATTTTAAAACACAAACTCATCTAATATTATTTCTTTGTTATCCTGAAGATACAAAAATATTTCTTTTTTTTTTTTCCTGATTACTTTTAGAAGTGGTTTATGGACCTTGTAAATTTGAAAACTTAACTTGATAACTTTCATAGTTTTTATATTTCTTTGAATCACCATTTCCCTAGTTTGTTATGTACTTTGTTTGCAGCTTTTTTTACATTCTAAACTTAATCTTTCAGCGAAGCTAACAAGTTTAGCATAGATCGTTTATCTGTTTTTCCTTAACAGTATTATACATTTTTATTAAATGCAATTACTTGAATGACAACTTTTAACAATTAATATCTAGTTACCAGTACACTTACCTAAAGTCGTTTGCACTTTGTTAGCTTTTACTTTAAGTTGCCACCTTCGAATTAATTCATATATAAGTCCAAAAACAAATAATACTCCTAATGCTACAAAGAAAAATGTAAACAACTTTCTGAACAGAGGAGCACTAAAATTGAAAAAACTTGTATTCAGGTCTGATTCACGAAGCTTTTCAGGTGATTGGTTTAATGAAAAAATTGGTACTTGAGTAGTTAAATTCTAAAAATTCAGAAAAAAGTAAATTTAGAAACAAATAAAAACAACAAATATTAAATATATTATTACAATCATAACATTAGTTAGTAAATATTTTATTTGTCAACTTACTTAATTGTGTATGTGCGTTTATATATATTCATAAACCTTAAAATCAAAACTCAAACACACATGATCACCACATATATCTATATATACATATATACATTCCAACCACAGACTATCTATTAAAAGAAAATATTATCTAAATAAGCATGAGTTCAAACAAAGATAGCTTATTAGCATATAAATATACATATACATATATATATATATATATATATATATATATATATATATATATATATATATATATATATATATATATATATATATATATATATATATATATATATATATGTATATCCTTATAGTGTAGTTGAAAGAGTCTTTTAATGTAAAAAAAGTCTCTTTCGACTACAATTTTAATTACCTTGTCTCTTAAACTGTTTTTGATTGTTGTCGAAATGTCAAAGCAATTAAATTAATGCGGAAGTACATTAAATTTTATTGTTTTTTAAAAAAAATTTTAAAAACCACAATTATAACGACTAGAAAATTTTTTTTAATTTGTGGTTTTTTTGTTTTTGTTTTAATAAAAAACATTTTTAAAACATGCGTAAATGTTGCTACATCGACTATCTTATAGCCTGACTCGCAACGGAGTGCTGCTACATCGACTGACAAATAGCCTGACTCGCAACGGAGTGCTGCTACATCGACTGACAAATAGCCTGACTCCCAACAGAGTGCTGCTACATCGACTGACAAATAGCCTGACTCGCAAGGGAGTGCTGCTACAACGAATGACAAATAGCCTGACTCGCAAGGGAGTGCTGCTACATCGACTGAGGGTTTTGGGCAGGCAGTCTATCAATTAAAAAAAAAAATTTAAGTTTTTAAACTTTTTCTGGTCTGGTTTATTAACGCGCTCTTTAAAACTACAGTTTACGGGAAACTCTTTTTGACTACCATGCAAGAGACATGCAAGAGTATATATATATATATATATATATATATATATATACATATATGCTAGAATGTGGCTTAAAGGACATTTTGGTATGGGGATAATAATAATAATTTAATAGCTGTCCAGACCAGTAAAATACAAGTCTTTGTAAATCTATTGGGTAATTCCATGTCAAAACAACAAAAGTCAAAAAAATAACCCACTATCTCTAAATTACTTATTATTTGAAACAAAGATAGTTAACAGTGCTACAAAAAATTACCCAAAGTTCTTATAGACAAGTTGGAATATTTTAGAAGTTATGCTCGTTTGAAATTCAAAACTTAGTAACATTTTTTCTCATCAAGCTCCCCTAGCAATGTCCTTCATAACAAGTTAATATCGATGCATAAGTTGTTACCTTAACTATATTTTTCTATGATTTGAAATTTTCCACATATTTTTAGACACTAAACCATAAAATTCTACTCAGAAGTATAATTAATTTTTTACAAAATAATTTATTAATAAACCAATAAGTGTAAATTGACATTTTTATTATAATTTAAAAATAAACATGTTCACTTTAAGAAGAATTACATAAAAAGTAATGATCTATTAATTTTCAAACTCCATATTCTTAAAATATATATAAATATCTGAAAACAAAACAAACAAAAAAATACTGAGCTAAGTTTTGACTTGAATAATGTAAAAAAAACTATTTTTGATTGAAAAGATATTTATATTGAGACAGGAGATTGGTGTTTATTGTATTTTGATAGGTATTTATGTTTATGTTATTTATCTTAAGGTATAACCAGAAAGTAAGAGGTATTCTCATTTACGAGTATAACTATATCATAGACATAAACAAACTGCCAATTCTAAGTAATAATTGATATATAGAAGCAAGAAAATGCGTAACAAGATTCAAAGACCATGTTGGTGAATAAATTTAAATTGCAACTCAACTTTGCACATCACTTTGCATCTCACAATTTCTAAACTTATAAGTCAAACTTGGCATAGTGTTCTCACTGCAGTATTTCATCTTAACTTCATTTTAACATACAGGAATGAATTCATGAAAGTCACTAGTTCCTGGTATTGTTTTTACATTTCAAATCATTCAGATTGTACTATTCTTGTTTCTATCAAACTTTCACTTGAAATAAAAATATTTGTTTACTTTTTATATACTTTTAAGCTTGATAAAATTAGTCATTTTTGCACATGGAATTTCCAATTTTTTACCATGCATCTGGTGAGAGTTTTCACTATCTTCATAAAATTTTTTCACTAAAGTTTATATTTGATCAAGGAGTCTTTTACCATGTTTAGTTAGTGGGACTGCAAGAACTCCTTTCTTCTTTGCTAAAGATCTACATTTTATTATTAGATATTTTGAAACACCAAAATTCTCCCTGGCTGCTTCAAATATTCTTGTGGGCGCAAAGTCAATACTTGAATCTTGTCCTTAAATGAACAGCATTTTTCAAATCTTTTAACAAAACATTTTTTTTGAATTAAGCAACTTTTTTTTTAAATCAAGATATTTATTCATTATTTTTAATATTTATAAATTGATTATTTGTTATCAAAAACTTCAATTTCTATCAATAGAATTTTGAAAGAACTTAATAACATTTCTTTGAAAACTGTTGTAATAGTTTTAAATTTTTATTTTCCAATGTTCATACAATTTAAAATGACCAGCTGTAAAGTTTAACCGATGACAAACCAATTATACTGAGACAATCAGAAAGCTCTTGTCAGCTTTTATTTATAGCTACATGTTGAATGTAAAATACGTTTTCTTTATTTATACTTTTTTTTGTGTTATTATCATCAATATCAATGTTATCAGTATTAATTTCAGTTAGAACTTTTAATTTGACTAATTAATTTGCTCAAATTTTTTGACCAGATACAATATTGAATCTAATCTTTAAAGCTATGGTTCTTAACTTGACTTCTCTGAGAGATGCTAAATAAAAAAATATAACTCATTAAAAGAAAATGTGCCTAGAATTAACAAACATAATGAACTTAAAATTATGACAAAGTATACAACATTTATAAAAAAATTATGTCAAGCTTTACTAACCTTTGCATGGTGTTTTGTAAAATAACAGTGGAGCATTTATTCTAAAACACAGGGAACTTCTCAATTTAAAATTTTTGGTGATGAAACAAATGTTGATTATCAAAGCAGGAAAAACACCAGACCTCAGAACAACTAAATTTTGCTCATCTGGAGCTAAATCTTGAAAATTTTTTATTCCAATGTGGTTTGTGTTAGTTTATGACAAATTGATTTTAAAATAAACATTGAGATGTTCAAGCCATTATAAAAATATTTCAATTGTTTTTCTAAAACCAACATTTAAACAAAAGTAATTTTTTACATAATTATTATTAATTCTCAAATGTTAGAACCAATTGATCCATTTAATTAATAAAACAAGAAACCAGAAATTTGTTTTTATTTTCATTTTTATTTTAAACTAAATAAGTCTAATCATAGAGACCAAAAAATAAAATTGCAAAAATAAAACTGTAATGTAAACTAATGAAATGTACATTGAAAACCAGTGAAATAAATTTTGCCTCTTATGAATATTTTACTAACTTATGAATATATATAAATTAATACTGTAAAGATCAATAACTTTTCTGTAATTAATATTAAATTAGACAAGTTTGCTAGAAATTTATTGTAAAAAATCCAGTTTGCATTTCAAAGTTTTTTATTGAGTATAAGATCTAATACATTCATATAACAATTTTCAATTTCTTTCTTCAAAAGTTTTTATACCTGTCAAATTTTGTAAATATATGGTTAATGTAACTGTGTATACTTAAACATTTTAGTGTTGCTTTAGTCATTGCTAAGAACGCAGAGGATAAAAAAATGTTAAAAAATCTTAAACTTCAAAGACCCATAACTCTTGAAATAATAAAATTGGCTTAAAATTATTTTTGATTATTCCTAATGGCACTGTTAACAACATTTGCTCTAAAAATCTATTATTTCTGAGATAGTAGGTTATTTTGAATTGTTGTTTTGATATCTGGTTTGTTATCTGTCAAATATCTCTATTTTCTACTAACATAAAATATATCCCACATATTCTCTATTGATATATTTGGTCGTAATTTTATGTCTGATAAAATTTGGTGTTTCATATTCTTGAAGAAACTATCATTTTAACAAATTTATTGCACATTTTAGATTAATTTAAAGAGTAAAATGAAAAAAGTTTAACACATTTGTTGCTTTTTTGCAATCAATTACAAACAAACATTAGTTGTTTCATTAAAGTCTTTTTCTACCCTTTTCAAGGATGTATCATTTGATAGAATTGAAGCACCTGTAGTGGCAATTTTCTTTACTAGAATGTAAAAACAATCTCAAACTTAAATTTGATTACTGAAGGGTTTTTATTAGTATGAATAAACTTAAAATCATACTTTTGATTAAAATAATAATTTTCATTTCAGTTTTTCATTTCATTTCAAACATTTTCAGTTATTTTTAATTAATAGTTAATCTTCAAAAGTTTCAGTAATGAAAAATGAAATCTTAAAAGATTGGCAAATTAAGAGACCTTGTAGAAAATTCTTTGACTAAAAGACAATGGGAATTGTTGAAAATTTTTAACAAATTTTATTTTATCAATCAAATCCAGATTGTTTTTTACCACCACAACAAAGTCCAAGAAATTGCCCAAAACGCAAATGGATATAAACGAAAGCAAATCCAGAGAAATCACATTCACTGAGGGAATAAAATTGCACTTAAAACTATTTGAGAGATTTCATAGAGCTGATTTCATTTTGTTTTCTGATTTTTCTTACAGTAAGAAATGTTGATTTCAACATCTAATTTCACTTGTGCATCATTAAGAGCCCATTTTAACATCAATTGACAAATATCTTTATCTAATTCTAAAGCATTAAAAATACTTTGTCTTGTTCCTTCTTCCTTTAGAAGAACGAAGACAAGGTATCTTTAATGCATCACATCAACCTGTTGCTGCATAAAATATTATTTTGGTTTAAACTAGAGTTTCTCATTTCCCGTAAATTTAGCATCCCGGGATTCCCGGTGTGTAACTTATTTATCCCGGGATTTCCCGGGATTTCCCGGCATAATTTTTAATATAATAACAAGCGGTTTCTGACACAAATTTATCTTAGCACGCTAATCTATATTACTATTTAAAATGAAATATTGTTTTAAAAAACATAAACAATCAATTGATTTGTCACTTAATCGTGAACGAATTTTTCCCATAAATAGACCCGCGGCAGAAAAAGCCCTTTCTGATTCAATTGATGTCGGCTTGATGGTCATTAATGTTGAGTATATTCTTTCTAAACTTTCGCTACGCTTTCTAGTTGCCTCAAAAAGTTTGATTTCTTTTGTGAGGTTTTTTAAATTGCTAATGTTTTCTAGAGCTGCTTTTTCTACTTGTTTGACATTACAAATAGTCGCATCCAATTTTTCTTCAAGCGTCAAAATACTTTTGCCTAATAAATATGGAGCAACAGGTTGAGGTATTGACGGGTCAGAAACCATGCTTTCATTATCACGACTCACTTCAACTATTTCATTATTTGATGAACTAAGGCTAGCATCCTCTATGTACAACCTGGTATAAATTTTTTTTGCTGTTGCTTTTAATGCATGTTTGGGCGGTAAGAGTAGTTTGGAGTTGATATTTGATTCCTGATTATAACTAATTGGGTTGTTTAAAAATTTTAGTAATCCAATTAAATTGGCATTTCTGCGTTCTTCAATTCTCTGCTGCACAGATTGAAGCAGTTTATTAGCTATAAAATTTTTTTTCTCCGTCAAATCGTCTAAGATGAATATCATTACACCTTCTGCGTCAAGTAGAGTAGCATTACTTCTACCAAGTCTTTCTATTCCAACTTTTATTGGTTGCAGAGAAAATGTTATGTCGTTCATAATCGCATATTCATCTTCGGAGATATTCAGAACTTCTTTTAAATCGATCATTGCTTTTAGTATACATGTTTTTACTTTAAGGAATCTTTCTAGCATTGCAACAAGACTATTCCACCTCGTTTTGACATCTAATATCAGCTTAAGCTCTTTATTAAACATAGATTTTACGTACATTTGTAAAACTTCATTTTTAAGAGGTGATTTACGGAACATTCGAACCACTTTTCGAACCTTCTGAATTGTTAAGGCTATATTTACGCTATTTTGTAAATCATCAATAAACGTAACGCCTGTTGAGCTGTGTGACTCATCATTACAGTCAAATACATCATCAAACTCGTCGTAATCACTCAAATTTTCATCGGAATCTTGAAACTGCGATTCAAATTCAATATATTTTGCTGAAGAGTCTGACTTTTTGTAAAGAACATCACATACTGCCAAATGAAGTCCGTGGGCATAACACAGCTGATGTTCAATACCACTTAGCCGTCCAAATTTTTTCATTACGGATGCTCCGTCAGTGACACTAGCTATGATGTGCTTTTTAATTGATAAACTGAAATCTGACAGTTTATTTTCAACTAGATCAACAATTTTTTCTGCAGGAAGTGATCCAGCTATCGGAGTCATTCCTAGGTTCCAAAACTTTGTTGATAAGTGTAAATTTACATTTAAATAACGTCGATTTTTTAAAGACGTATATTCGTCTAACGATAAAGAAAATCGCGACCCGCTAGAAATTTCTTTTGTTATCTCTAAAACCACAGTTTGTCTAGCTAATTCATATTGTTTTTTTATCATACCCATAACATGGGATGGATTTTTTGGTAATAACATGCCTTTTTCAGACAATGATTTTCTAATGAATTCACTTTTTGTTATGGCATTTATTGAGAAGCCATCCACCGTTGCTAGCTTTGACACAATTTCCTCGATAGTCTGCTGTTTAACAAACAATGCTATTTTCTTTTGAACAATTTTATTTTCCGAACCAGTATCTTCAAGTAGACGCTTCATATTTAGATCCAAATCTTTATGTGTGTTTTTTAAATGACGTAGGAGCCCACTGGTCGAAAATCCTTTGCACATTATCTTTACATTGCACTTTTTGCAAATTGCAGATTCGCCAGATTTTTCTTTACAAAAATACTGCCATGCTTTGGATCCATTTACAATTGACATAGTATAACTAAATTGAATCGCAGAACAACTAAAAGTAAAGTTACAAATATTTCTTACATATGTATGTTATCTTACGTATGACTTTTAAGTGTTTGTTTGCCGTTTTTTAAATACAAAAATTATTAAATATTTCAATAATTTGATACAGAAAAAGTTTAACTTTTCAATAATTTAGAAGTTTAAAAATTAAACTTACTGTTTTCGTCGCAAGAAATCTTTTTTATTTTTTACTCATATTTTATAATAATGAAAAAAAAGAAAACATTGCATTGCAATGCATTTCTTTTTAGTTTAAGATAGTTTCAATAGCATTTCTTGTTGTGCTAGGTTTTAATATAAGGTATGAACACATAAAACACAACTAAATGCAATAATATTTTTCTTATTTTTGGTCGAATTAGTTCAAAGTTATCATATGTAAAATTATTTTAAAAAAAATTATATTCCGGGATATAAGAGTGATATCCCGGGAAATCCCGCTGCCACTTTTATCCCCGGGATCCCGGGAAAACGGGATCCCGGGATCCCGTTTGAGAAACCCTAGTTTAAACTGATATTTTTCAAATAGTTTAAACCATGGTTTAAACCATTTGAAAAATATCAAACCAATCTATCAATCCTGTTTTATGGCTCAACACTTTTGATTATAACTTACACATAAATTTAACATACACATAAATTTAACATTGCAATATGTAACCATACCTTTTCGTACTCTTTAAGATCATTTTCCAAAATATCTCTATTTGCTTGGATGAACTGTTCAACACAAGAACTCAACAAAGATAAACTTCCAAGTAACACAACTAAAATACCATAATAAAAAAAGTTCCAAAAAGAGAGTTAAAATAAAAAATAAAAAAAATCATTTTAAACATTTTTTTTACATAGATCATGATTATTTTATGAGATTCATAAAGTCAAAAGTTATCCTTGACAATCAAAATGTTGACTCTGAGAAATCATTAAAAGTTTTTCCTGAAAATCAAAAGTTGTCATTAAAAATAAGTTTTTATATAATTTTTTTTTTGTATAATACTTTTATATTACAGGTTATCCCTAGCTATTATAAGGTGTTCAAAAGTTGCCCCTTCCATCAAAAGTATTAGTCTGTCAATAAAGATACATAAATATAAAATTTTTAAATAATTTGAACTTCACAAAAATATTATTTATTATATTAGTAAAAATATAAAAATAAATAAAAACTATAAAAATAAAGTCAAAAATATTAATTATATCTAAAATGTTATGTTACCTAGGCAGAGACAAAAAAAAAAACATTCTTAATTTTCTTTAATTCTTTCATTCTTTATGTCTCCATCTTAATTTTAACTTAACACTTATTTTTTAATGTCTTTGTCTACCTCATTTTTTTACGTCTACCTTTTCAAATATATTCTTTTTCACACATTTTTGTGTGAAATAAAAGATATGACAGATAAAATATGGTACAGTTTTCACAATTATTGCCAGGTAAAATTAAAACATGAATTAGCAAAGAAAACTTGAAAAAATAAGATACTAAAAAGCAAGTACTTTATTTTCTCCTAAGCTGAAATCAAAGATTTTGTTGTACCTGGCAATTTGAATTTGGTTTTAATTAAACTATGCAATTTTATACTATATTACATACTTGTATATTTTTTTTATTATACCAGCAAATTTATATCTGATTTTTGATAAGTTTAATAAACTCATGAAATTTTTTTTATAGTTTAATTTAGTATATCTTTAGTATAATGTCCAAACCACATGCCATTGTTGTTTTTTCCATTCATATTTGGCTTTAGTTTTTTCATATTTGGCTTTAGTTTTTTCCATTCATATTTGGCCATTCATATTTGGCTTTAGTTCAAAATGTTTGAATAAATTATTTCATCTCACAATAAACACAAATATCGAAATGTTCTTGAAAGTCATTTGCTTCTTATAAATTACATTTAAACAGGTTTTAGTGATTCATTACCATAATTTAATCTAAGAATATCTGAAAATTATCAGCAAGTCCTATAGTATCAAATAATATTGTCTAATGTTAGTTCAATTTAATAATTATTTGCCTGTATTGACAATATTGTGATAGTGTTTTTTTTTGTTTTTTTTTTTTTTAACATCTTCACTTCCAACAAGGCTGCAAGCAACCACTATAAGAGTTGGAAGTTACTGGAAGAGAAAAGACTAAATCTGTAGAGCAAGATAACGATTGACTGATGACTTAAAAGATTGCAAATTATATGAATCAGGAAAGCAAGATGAATGAAGCGAATTCCAAAGAACTGATGTTCGAGGAAAAAAACTAGAAGAATAAGAGTTTTTGAAGCACTTAGGAACAGTCACAGAAAAAGGATGAGACTTAATTGAATGGCGAGTAACACGAGAATGAATTTTAGTAGATGGCACAAGGGACGCTAGCTCTTGCTAGCTAGTGTTGTGGAAATTAGTTTAAATTGTTTTTTACTGTAACATCTCTGATATTTTATTTGTACTAATTGTCTCTGCATATGTGGTATTGGTGCAGTGTAGTGGTTGGCGCAAATAGGAAATACTTCTAAACTAAAATTAACCAATCAGCAAATACTTCACTAAAACTATTATAATACTAGTATAATATCAAAATTTCAGCAGAACTGGTTTTGGATGTGTTTTAAAATAAATTAATAAACCACTGAAAATCTAGTGCTTAGGATTATAAGATCCACCAGATACTTTTCCATTTCAAATATTACAACTTTATTGGGATCACTAATGGAGATTGTAAATGCTTCTAAACCCAACTTTATTGACAACTTCTTTCTAATTTAAATAATAATAATGACTTATTATTCATAAATAGATATTAGGAGTATAAAATGACTCATTAAAATCTGTAAAAATAACAAAAAGTTTCTACAAAATATTATCGGTCGAAACGGAAAAGTGTTTTCCTTCTTCGCTATTTAATTATTTAAACCAAAGTTTTTTTACAACAAAATGCAACAAAGTGCAAGATTCAAAATTATATGTGCATTGCAACGGTTTGATTATTTGTAGTTTTAATACTTTTAACAAACAGATGGATATACGCTATTTACTAACTAAAAAATTAAATAATTGGTTAACAATGGGCTTAAAATTTTCTTTTAGAAATGGTAAAATATTTTGTGAAAATAGCTAAAAAAAACTTTTAGGCTTTTTGAGAAATTTTGTTTTTTTGTATGTTTTTTAACTGAAATTTTGTTTCTCATTAAAAATTAAAAAAAAAGTATTAAAACCAAAATTTTGGTATCAGTTCAATTTGAAATTTCAGCCAAAACCAGAGCCTGAAAAAACTTTCAGTTGATCACTAGTGTAGTGGTATGCTTGCATTGTAAGTGAGAAGTTCCGGATTCAACACTAAACACATCTCTAGTAATATGCCATGCTTATATTAGAAACTAGAAGTCTATTGACCAGATCTGTTGCGCTTCTGAATGTTTTTCAGCAGAAATTTTTTCAATAAGATTTGGAGTTTTTATTTCTAGCCTCTTGAGCTTCCTCTGACATAAGTCCTTTGGGTAATAAAATGTTTTGAATTATGTCATCTCCGTATATCAATACTTTGTGATAGATTGAGCCATACAATACCACAGATAAAAATAATAATCCTTGAATTTTAGCCAGTTTATATCCTGAAGATAGTGTTACCAAGATAATGAAAAATTTCAGCTGTTTGTTCATATGCTACAAAAGCACACCTTGAACTATTGCAGTGCTTGTGATGAATCGAGAGGGATCGCTCACAATACGTGAAACACGCCCATAAATGAACAACCATCCGCGACAAAAAGCGCTTGCTAGTTTTGTTACGAGAGTAAAAAATCACGCTCTTTTATTTGGTTGATCTTTTAGCCCTATTTGTCGCAAGTTCATTTACGATCACTCCCAGTTCATCACAAGGCCTGTATTGCTGTTGTTGCTTGATCTAGAACCACCACTTTTGGGAAACCAACAGCAAGTCCAATTTTTTTCATAAAACCTGTATGGAGTCTTTTGTTTAGTTACAGATACCTTTTCTTTGTGTTCTTTAGAATTTTTCTAGCCGCTTTCTTGTTGTTTTTTTTTATGCAAAATGCAAAATTATTTAAATTTATTTTAAAAAATCTAATAAAATCATAACCAAGCTTTTTATCTTATTTTTAGTATACTGATCTTCTTCGAACACAGACTCTTTGGACTCCATTTTGTATGCAAAGCTTAAGGGTCTGCAACAGGTTGTGGATGATGACTTTTGATTTCTCCAAAAGGGTACCCTTTCATTGCTGTTGTTAAATCATTTAAGTCCAATGGGACTAGAAAATGAATAAATAATGATTCTTCATGTTTTAAATTTCTGTTCATGCCAGGTTCTGACAAAACTTATTTATAAATGCTTTGGCCTGTAACAATATCAAAACCAGCTTTACATGTGAGAGTCATTGTTTTTATTGCTTTTTGGTTCAATATCAATAACTGCAAAGAATAAGAAATTTGCGTTCTTTGATTCAGATTGATGACAGATTTTTTGCAAAGGATGAATAAATCTTTTAAAAGAACTGAAGCCCTCCACTGTTATATTTGAAGGATAGCATCTCAACTTCACATCCCTGATATCATTGTAAGTGGGGTAGATGTTACATTCTTTCTATAAGGCTTAAACTCTAATCAATTAGTAGAAAGCTTTTGTTAGACTAGTACCAATTATTAAGGCCAGTGCTTCATCTGCTGAATGCTTTATCTATATTTGAAATATTTAAAATGTTCTTAGCAGCAACAACATTAGATTTATCTTTTAATTTCTTACTAGCAAGAAAAAATAATTTATTGGATGAATGAGATTCAAGCAAGTTAGATACACACTTTTTTTTAGTTTTATTAGAACTATCATCAAATGTAACTGGTTTTCAACCATGTCTACTTGTAGATGGTTCATTGTCTTTTTTTCTGACAATTAAATATTTATTAAGCCAATTCACAAACTTCTTTTTAATGTTTTTGACAGTATAGTTTTCAGATTTCCACTTTTTTTTAATAAACAAATAAACAAATAGTTAAACAGCATGCTTAAAATCAACAACTTCAAATTTAGCAATTTTTGACATTAAAATCATTATTTCTAATCCGTTGAAACCATCTTTTGCATGTTGCTTCTAATAGAGCGTGATCACCATATACCTTAACAAGCATTTAATGCTCTCAGCACTTTTCCTCAAATGAAAACAAAAATAGCCTTCCACAAATCATCACTTTCTGCTAAAAAATTTGATATTTTAACATAATTTGTATTAAAACATAAAAAAATGTTGTTTGTTTAATGACTTGATGTATATTTTTTGTATATAATGTAATATGTTTGACAGATTTTATACCAACCCAACAAAAAAAATTAAGTCTCTTTCACAACAAATGTTCCCTATTGACACAAGTATGTTAACATTCACACTATTACACCTGGTATATACAATAAACCAAATGTATAATATTATATATTTAATTTTTGAAGGTTTTATAAAAGTTACAAAAGAAAAAAATTTTACATACTTTATATAGCATTATTAAGAAATAAATTTATGAAAATTAAATCAACTTACCTCCCACACTTCCAATATTATTAGGGTATGTATGTGCAACTACAGTACCAGCTTTCATTAATCTACTTTTATAAGGTTTTATAGCATACTGATCAAAAATAGCATACTTGATTGCACCGGTTTCTAGTGCTTGAACAACCTGTTCATAACTAAAATATTTTGTTGCTAAAAAAAAAAAAACACAAATATAAAGTAGCTGAAAAGGTTCGCATTAAAACTAAAGCAGACAGAATCTGAGTAATATATATGTGTGCTTTTGTGTATTTGTGTATATATGTGGATATATATATATATGTATATACTTATACATATACACATACACACACACACACACACACACACATACATATATATATATATATATATATATATATATATATATATATATATATATATATATATATATATATATATATATATATATATATATATATATATATATATATATATATATATATATATATACACACACATAAAAATTGATTCTTGACTAAAAACCTTCAATTGACATGAAAATGAAAACTCTTTATGAAATTATTGATTCAAAAAATAAATCTATATTTTGATAAGTTTCTTGTTGTTAAATTCAAACATCACTTGACCAAACATGACCAAAGACATGGCTAATACTTGAAAACTTGATTTTCTGGAAATCAACAAAAATTGGTATGATATTCCTATTAATTTAATTTTAACTTTATTTATTTAATTTAATCCTTTAATTTTTAATTTAATCCTTTAATTTTAGGTTTTTTAAAGATTACTTAATGTATTACAGTAAAATTATTTATTATTTTTTACTATTAATTATTTTTAATAATTTGTTGAAGTTAATTTTTTTACTAAATATGTACTATCGAACAAGTTTGAAAATTTAAATTCTTTATTTATTAAGTTCAAATTTTTTTTTAAGTTCATATTTTCCCAAAATTAAAAATCAAACTCATTAAAAATTTATTAATAAAAAAGTAATTTTATCTAAAAAGAACAAATTAAGGACTTACAATTTTCAACAATCATATGATTTGATGCCCACTTGTATTCTGCTGAACCTTCTACACCTATCACCTATTATATATATATATATATATATATATATATATATATATATATATATATATATATATATATATATATATATATATATATATATATATATATATATGTAAAATTTAAAAAAACAAATATATATTTTTTCAAAAACTTTTATACGCAGCCATATTTATTGAATTTTACATACTTTTATCATATAATAAGAAAATGACTTTCAAAGATTTTATATATATATATATATATATATATATATATATATATATATATATATATATATATATATATATATATTCTAGGAAAATAATTTGGGTAGCGGTAATCCCACGGCGACGCCTTTCAGTAAGAAAATTTGACATATGTACGCATTTTTTTTCAAAAAAACAATATTTATCATAAAAAAGAAAAGAAAAAAATATCCTTAATTTTTGAGTTTGGACAGCGCTAAAATTGGCAAAAAAGGATACAGCTAAATTTCCAAAGTTCAATTTATCAAGAAGTGAGTTAATTGAGTTCAATTTATTAAGAAGTGAGTTAAGTGAGTTCAATTTATCAAGAAGTGAGTTAAGTGAGTTCAATTTATCAAAAAGTGAGTTAAGTGAGTTCAATTTATCAAAAAGTGAGTTAAGTGAGTTCAATTTATCAAGAAGTGAGTTAAGTGAGTTCAATTTATCAGGAAGTGAGTTAAGTGAGTTCAATTTATCAAGAATTGAAAGTCTTTGTAGTAAAATGAAGTTTCTTGAAACGTTGATGAAATTAGTACTTCGAACATGAAACAATGGAAGTGGCTTTAGATTATAACTTGTGGAATAATATAGTTATAGATTGTGATTGATTATTTTCCAATTATATTGCAATTTCAGATGAGGAAACTGTTGCAATGTTGGAACAGCATAATTAATTCTCACAAAAAATTATATTTTTCAATCCAACTACTCTTGCAGTACATGCTGAATTTTATCACATTTTTTTAATGAACTAATATTAAATGAATTTTTTTATTTTCATGAGAAAGTAATAATTTTTATTTTGAGAAAAACAGCCTAGCATTTTGCTTGAAAAAATCCAAAGTAATAAATAATAAAATATGTAATACATAGTTAATTTATATATATTTAGAAATAATAAGTAATAATAAATATATAAAATTCAAGAGATTAAGTTTAAAATATTAACATTTTTTTAATTACATTCTTAAAACCTTTTTTTAAAGATGAAATTATTTATTACCTTTTTACTTAATTACCTTTAAAGAACTCAACTTTACAAGAATATTGATAATGTTAACATTACAAAAATATTGATAATGTTAACATTACAAGAATATTGGTAATGTATTAAAAACATATTACTAAAAAATATTATTAGATAGAAAAAAAAATATTTTATTTAAAACTCAAGTTTTAATACATTAACACACCAGTCCCTACCACCAAAAAAAAAAAAAAAAAAAAAAAAGCTTACAGGCTCATTTGGAAAATGTTCCAATACTCTGCTAAGTTGATAAGTTGTTAAGGCTGATGATAGCTTACCAACTAAAATTCCATTAATAACTATTCCAAAAATAATCCATAACATAAATAACATTCTCCCAATAGTAAAGGCTGGCTTTTTATCACCATACCTAAATATGTTTTAAATAAAATAATTATTTGTATATGAAAAACTTTAACACACTTAAAGAAACACAAAAATGTGCTCACAAAGAATTCCATAACCTACCCTACTAATGTACTTGTAACAATTGCTAAATAAGCACCTTCAAACATTCCTGATAGAGAAAAAAAATTACTTCGAAGTTGAGCATTCTGGGGTTCCTAAAATATATTTAATTTATTTATTCAAAATAATAAGTTTATTTATTCAAAACAAATAAAGTTTTGTAAACACATAAAATAAGTATAAAAATAAGAATAGTAACTACTAGTAACCAATTGTATCAAACCAATTGTTAAAATTAAACATAGTTTAAAGTTTGCAAAAGAAAAGTTAAACATAGTATAGAGTTTATAAAAGAAATAATTAACAGTTTAGAGTTTGTGAAAGAAAAAATAAATATAGTTTAGAGTTTGTGAAAGAAAACTAAACTCACACAAACAAAAAGTATAACACCAGCTAAAATATTGAAAATGAAATATAAAAGCAAAAAACTCATTGTTCCAATAACAGTTTTTAAAAATATTTCTTCATTCTGCTTGATAATAACTTCTAGATAATCAGGTATTTCCATTATTACAAAACCAAGAGAAGCAGCAATTGAAACAAACTTAGCACCTGGAATAGTTTTATGTGGATTTAATATTGGGATAATAGCTCCTTTTAAATTATTATTACTATTAGTGATATTTAAGATATTGTCAAATAAAGAAACGTCCAAAGGTCTATATACAATTGTAACATTTTGCTTAAATGAGCTGCATTTTTGAGCACATGTTAGTAGTGATGTTTCTAATGTATTAACCAATATTCCTGAAGGAGTTAAAAAAGCTGCTGACTGTACAAAAGGAGGGCTTTGAAAATAGTTGATTTCTATATTTGGATTGTCAACCAAGCATGTTTCTAAATGTAATAAATATATTAGAATAATAAAAAAACAGCTTATCAAATAATCATAAAATTAAATATGGTTGAAAAAAAAAGTTCAAAACATACCAAATTCCACTACGTTACTATGTTTCCCAATTCCAGCTGCTGTATATCCAGCTACTTTTAACAAATATTTTGAAAAAACATTCAAATTTAACAAAGTGAAAGTAAGACTTAATGGGGAAGATTTTACTTCTACCCAGTCCTCATTAATTTGTAAGCTACCTTCCTTAATTCTCTTGTATAATATTTGATATCCAGATGGAATACCTAACCAATGATTTAATGGAATAGCTGCCCAACGGACAATTGCAGCATTTGGGTAGACATGGTTAGTCACAGCCACATTTGTTGGTGCTTTATCAGGATCTAAAAAAGTGTAATTTTCTCAAACTTTAATTAAAATAAAATAAAAGGTAAACACCATTGCAAAAAGGTGTATACCATTACACCAACACAATTATAAACTTACACCACTCAAGAGTTTCACACACTAAATCTTCAGATGGAACACCTTCTCCATCTTTTGTCCATGCAGTTATTTTAATAACATATTTTGTTATAGGCAGAAGAAAGATAAGTCGTATAGACTTTAATGAAGAATCCTGTTCAATTGAAGTATATGATGATTTATTTTTTACTTTGTAATATACACGATAATTTGTCAGTATTCCTTGTAAATAAAGTGGGGGAATATCATCCCAGCAAATTGTTAAAGATTCATGATCACTTCCACAACAACGCAAATTAAGAACAGAAATTACTGGTGCTAAAAAAATTGAAAAAAAAAACATTAAATGCACAAAATTTTACTAAAAACAGATTAAATAAAGTTATAAAATTTTGCTATAATTATGTATTTATAAAGTTTTACTATAATAATATCAATATTCTTGCACGTTTGTGATCAATATTATCGAATAATATTTAGTATATTTATTCATTTATACAAAATATTTTTATTAGTCATTTTATATGTAAAAACTATACAGAATGTAAGTTCTCATACTTAACAACATGCAATTTTTGCATGTCAGTAGGCTCTATTTTCCTAAAAAGATAAAAAAATTGAACATTAAAAAATTTTGGTAAATTTAGAAACTTCTATTTTTTACAGAGTAGATCTCTAAAGAAATAAAAGTTGTAAAAATATAAAAAATATTATCATAGTTTTTAGCAGTAAACAACTGAGTTAGTTAAAATTAAGTTTGGGTTAAAAATCATTATCCACTATGAGCACTAAACTATCACAGAAAAAATATCAAAGTCAAGATAAGTTGCTGTGATTAAATTGTAATGAGACTTTGTTAAGACTGAAGTACACAGTAAAACTGTAGTAAACTCCAGTACACAGTTGCATTATCAACCGGAATCACTATAGATGAAAGATCAGAAAAATCATTATTGTAAATGAGAAACAACACAGGACCAAGCAACAAATCTTGTGGTACCCCAGATGTTACTGAAAATGAAAAAGTGTGTTATTTATCAAATATGATTTCAATATTATGATTGGAAAGAAATAACTCAATTATCTTGAAAACTTTCCCAGATACACTATATGAAAAGACTTTATGAAGACCAATGATAATAAAAAAGACAATGAGAAGAGTTGAATAAGCCAGACTATGAGAAGACATGAACATTTCAGACTTTAGATAACACTTTTGTTATTTAAACAGCCTGTGCCTAAATGCTTTCATCTAATGCATAATAAAACCTGTTATCACAGTTAACAAGACCATTTATCACAGTTAACAAGACCATTTATCACAGTTAACAAGACCATTTATCACAGTTAACAATTCAGCAGTAGAACAAGAAGGTCAAAACTGGTTACAACAATGTTTAATGATCAACACAAAATAGATCAGAGTCCTGAAGACAGCATTTTTGAAACATGAGTTTGGTTTAGTATGTCTTTATTTTGCTCCAGTATTGTAAGTTATGTGTATCATGATAATGCCTTGCCTTGATTGTATCTTAAATCTTTCCTCATATCAGGTGTAAGCTTTTTTTTTTAATTTCACAAAACTTCTGAACTTGTGCTTCAGGGGATCCTCACAAATCTTGGTATACTTCAATAATTGTTAATGACTGACCTCATAATCCACTCATAATCATTAATCAAACAAAATTTTAATTCATTATTTTAATTTCAATAACAGTATTATAGAATCTTTGCCATCCACAAACAGTGGAAATGAAAAGTGGAGCAGTGAAAATCTTAATTCAATTTTCAATAATATTTAAAAAACAATTTGTGTAAAATACAAATTGGCCAAATTGTCCAATTGTGGTTAGTGCAAAAATAGTTAGCCTTACTTTTTTATAGCTTTATTTTTTCATCCTAAAGTCATGGTAGTAAAATCTGATTGGCGCATTCAAAGTCATGGTAGCAAATAGGATTGGTTGACTTGGTTGAAAAGTTTGAGTTATTTAATTTTTTAAATTATTTTAACACACTTATTGCATTCTTAGCCTTGCATAACGCTCTATCAAGAGACTGTGGTGAAGAGGTTCAAAATCTCTGTTTGTAAATTTATGTTTTATACTTAGCTTTATGTTTTGTAACTATTTTTGTTGTTTAAAGTTAAATTGCTTTTTATTATTAACAAAGATATGATGATACTTTTGTCTAGTAATTTTAAAAATGTTTTAGTGACATGATTTTTTGGAGATTTTTTTTTTTTTTTTTTTTAATTAAATTTTTTTTATGCAATTCACCTTCCCAAGACCATAAAGGCTAATACAGTCGAGGATGCTACTTTAGTTGTGGTTCTTTTTTTTTAATTAAATAATACTTACAGAAAATCATGTGACTTCAAATAAAGAAATTTATTATTATTTTTGGTATTGAAGCAAATAATAAAATGCGCACAATTTAATGACATGAACTAGTTTATTATATCATAAGCAATTACATATTAAGCAATGCCTAAATTATTTTTTTCTATAAAATATCTTTACTAAAAATCAAGATAAATGTTAGTGTTTGTTAAAAATAAACTTTAAATCTTTTAAACCCTATTAGGGCGTTTCCATAGTACTTATTTTTACTTAGCAGCTCTCTCATTACTCTATAACTTCTAAATAAGAACCTTGATGAACAAGAACCGCTGCGTGGAGAAACAAGTTGATATATATATAAATATTTAAGAGAACTGTTTTTGTACACATTGTTTTTTAGTGCTTTCTTGCATTCATTTTTAAATTAGTTAAACAAATGTTTATTGTCTGCATAATATGACATTGATGACACTGATACTACTGATGTACCTGATGACATTTAACTGAAATGTCATAGAGATTTGGAAAGGTTTAGAAAAAATAATTTTTTTTTAAAGAAAAAAGTTCAAAAAATAAATAATTAATGAAACTGAATTTTAAAAACCACAAAAACTTAGCTATATAGACTAGAAAATATTTGGTTTTGTCATAAAAAATGTTTTTTTTTTAAAATTATTTTATACTGTTTTGGGTATTTTATTTTTTTTATTTTAAATTTTAACTTCATGTGCATTTAAGTTTTATCATTTTATTTAGAAATATGAAAAATAAACAAACTAGTTTCCAAACTACTTTTGTACTTCTTGATTTGATATTTTTTAATGATTTAATTTTTTAGAAAGACAGAGTAAAATATCATTTTAACAGAAAAAAATTAAGGTATTCTTTTAACTTATATTTTACTTATAAAAAACTATTAGCTTGTTATTTATATTAATTACAACTAACAATAAAGATTTAAATTATAGATACATTAGATTAAAATTAGCATGACATTGTTCACAAATTATTTGAAAACTTGTAGCAAAGTAAATGTGTAAATTTCAGTAACTGAAAGTGAATTGGAAAACAATTTGGATAGTAATTACATTTACTGAATAAGTAATTTAAATAAAAATTAAAAAAATAATAATAAATTAAAATTAACAATAATAATTTAAAATTAATAATAATAAATTAAAATTACTATTGAGATTACAAATAAAAAACTTCAGACAAAATAAATAACACAAATTTTAAAAAATTCAAAATTAAAATTGAAATACAACGTACTCCCTTCCACTGTGCTAACCACTAACGGTTCACTGAACGAGCCATTATACTTATTGTTAATGGCAGCTGATATAGTGTAGTTAACAAAACCAAACAAATTTTCTATCTGAACACTTGTTGCATTTGGATCATTAATTATAATTGTCCTGCAAAAAAAAGTAATAAATGAAAAAATAAACAACTATATAATATATCTAAAGATAATATCTTTTTAACCCCTTAACTGTGGTGTAGGTTTAAACATTAGATTTAATTAAAATAATTTAATAATAAATTTAAAATTAGATTCTCTATTACAGAAAAATATATTTGTTTAGGATTATTTTAAGTTGTTTACTTTTTTTTCGTATAGTGCACCATAATTTGTAAATGTTTTATTAAAAAAAAAAAATAATCAAAAAAGTTTTTCACTCTACAAAACATTTACATGTTTGGCAAAGTGGAAAACCCAGTATTAATGACTGTTGCACTGCACTAAGCAGTAACCTGCTTTAGTTATGGCAGGACATTGTGCCGATAACCAGTTATAATAGAAATGTTCTAAAATAAATATTTAATAAATTTACATACTCATTAACTTGTAGTAATCCATTATAAATTGCTGCAGGTAGGCTCCTTCGTTTTCTTGCTACTGGTTCTTCAATAGGCATATAATCCTCTTCACTAATAAGAGCCATCGCAATAACTGTATATCCAGTGATAGGACCATAAATCTGTGATAAATCTGGGGGTTCCCATGAAAAATTCAAGCTATTTACACTAACATTGGCATCAAAACCTGATAGTAACGCATCAGGGGCTAAAAACAGAATAAAAAAATAAAAAATTTATAACAAATATATATAAAGCAATAAATATTAATTTATTAAACATATCGAAAGTTACAATAATCTTATTTATAATATAAAACACTAATTTATTAAATAATTAATCTATTTTGTTATTAACTGATTTTAACTATTTAAAAAATATATATACTTTTATATTTATACTTTTTTATATAGTATTACTGTATAATTATCTAATTATTAAATTCTTAAATTATTATTGCTCTATTTGTAATTTTTATTTTAATCACATAAATCTTGAGATTTTAAAAATGATCGAAAAAAATCAGAGAAACTTTATTGCATTTATTACAAAAGTATTTTATTTGTACCAGATGCAGGTGTAATTAGAAAAATATCATTATCTATTTATCTTGTTTATTGTTTAGAAATGAAATAAACCTAAAAATATTCAAACATATTATAAAATGATCTAATAAAATTAAACATGAACTGATGAGTATTATGATCATTTGTAACTGGTAAATATTATATAGACAAATAATAGATACAAATATTTAGGTAAATTTTATTCTAGAGGATGTTTTCATTTAATGACTTCTTACTATTAATAGACTATACAATAATACTATGAAAACAGCCTTAAGGTAGTAAGTCATAAAAAGGCTATATATATATATATATATATATATATATATATATATATATACATATATATATATATATATATATATATATATATATATATATATATACATATATATATATATATATATATATATATATATATATATATATATATATATATATATATATATATATACGTATACATATATATATATATATATATATATATATATATATATATATATATATATATATATATATATATATATATATATATATACATAGCTGTAGCTGTTTTCGTAAATTTTTTGTATTCTCTGCGCAAATCTTCCCTGATATTTCACAGCAGCTGTTTTAGTAAATTCTCTGTATTCTCTGTGTGAATCTCTCCTTGATACTTAATGTTGTACTATTTTAAATTGATAAAAAAGCTTTTTGAATGACACAATTAAACCGAAGTAAACCTTAAACCAAAATTTAAGGTTTAAACATTAAACCAAAGTTTTTATATTTTACTAATTTTAAAATATTGGCACAAAGTATCTTAACAAGCTACATCAATTTGCAGATAACTAGAATATTGATTTATAAAATTAAAATAATAAAGAAAATACTAAACAAAGACATTTTGTTTTAAAATAACCTTGCAAAGAGTAAGGCTTCATTCAGAAAATAAGAAATGGGTCTATTTCTACTTTTTCAATAGAAACAAAAAATGTATATCTATAAATGTATATCTATAAATAGTTTATCATTGATTCAAAGGCTTTGCTAAATCTAGATTTAGTTTGAATACAAATTATCAACCAGATTTAGTGGTAGTTGTACAACATATATTAAACAGACTGGTAACTATTTGTAAAGTTCTAGAGATTTCCAGGTTAAAAGTCATTATCAAATTTAAAAAGGAAAAAGGAAAAAATGAAGCAAGAAGTAGATGACAACTGTTTTTTGAAATATAAAGCATTAAAAACAGTAAAAAACTGAATCATTCTGAATTTCTGAATTTCTACTTTTTGTATTAATCAACTATTTATTTATTTCATTTACCCACTATTTCCATTTTAAAAAAAAATGATTTTGTTCAGAATTCTGTCAAATTGTTGGTTCTGGTATCCGTCATGCTTGCAACAAAAAAATTGCTGTTTAAAGTGTCCAGTACTTAATTACTTAACCTAAATGTTGCTGAGAGAGATGTTTTTTCACTCTAAAAGAAAAATCTGTTGTTTGTGATAGTACAAACATAAAACTTGCATATAAAGTTTAGAACTGAATTTTAAAATGTTTTACATTTTTATAAAATAAGTCAAAATATAAAAAAATAATGCTTTACATTTTTATAAAAGATGCAACTTCTAAATCATTTTTCAATGGTTTTCAGCCACTAGTAAATTAACTTAAACAAAAAACCTCTAAAAAAATAGCAGTGATGAATATCTATATTACATAATTTCAGTTGGTGGATAATGGCTGATATCACCAAACAAAAAAAGTAAAGCATTAACGTTATGTCTAATTTATAGGAATTGTTGTAGTTCTGCAAACTGCTCCATACATTACTAAAAAACTGCTTTCCACACAAATTTACATTTTTACTTATTTACATTTACTGTATTACTTTGCTTATGAATTTGCATTTTAAATATTTCCTTAAATCTGACTTTTTGTTATTCACTAGTTTTTATGTTTTAGAGAAATATTTTTTAATTATTTTTTTTTGCATTTTGTTGCATGTGCAGCAGTGCTTATGCAACAAAATGAAAAAAAAATGACAGCTGATGTATTACCCGAATGCTAATTTATTTTGTTGATTGCTTCTTCATTTCTTAATTTCTTTAAAGCTTCCTTTGGCTTGACAGCCAGCTTGACATATTTGACTCCCTTCGGCTTGACAGCTTGATCTTTGCAAGACAACTTGATCCTTTTATGCAAACATTCAATTTTATAATTATTTAAAAACACATATAAATGAACTTTATTCTTTGTTTAAACTTAGAGCAAAATAAGGTAAATAAAATAGAGGATATAAAGAAATAGTTATGACAATATTTATTCTTTATACTAAAACTTTGCAAACATTTTTTCAAAATATTTGCAATACTTTTTATCAATGAAGCAGGTATTAACAAAAAGAATTGTTTGTTATTTATGAATTTTGATGAAATTGGCTATTGATCAAGGAAAACAACACATAGTTTACAAGCGTGGTGCTAAAATGGCCATTAAAATTTTTTGGCAACAATGAAAAAATTAACTATTGCATCAATGCTGCTAATAACCGTTGTGCATCATACATGGTCGCATGTATGCAAATAGTCACTGGATTTTAAAATATTAGTTTGTTTCCACCAGACATTAATAAAATCAATCAGTCAAATTAAAAATTGCTGATACATTTCAAACACTCATTTGAAAATCTCAACCAACAGTATCATGCTAGTACCACTAGTAGCATCAATAATTACACCCTTTCAGCAGCTGCCTTCCAAATCTTGAAAAAAAGATTGGGATCAGCCCAGTCACAGCAATACAAAAGCACCAAGTTTAATCGTATCAAAAAATGCCACACAAATTAACAACTAAACTCATTCTACAGAACCTCTAAACAACTCAACTTGTCTTATTAACCCCAAATATAAGAGCAAAATGAAATGCTATTTTTTCAATTAAATTTGATTTCTTAAAAAATTTAAAGATTTATTTGATTAGTATAATAAAAATTGATTAGTATATATTTAAAATTCTTGCTAATAGCTTAAAATTCTTTACAAGTTATATTTTGCTTATTTAATTTGCATAAATTACGCATAATCATTTTTATGTATTTACTTCAGAAAATCAAATTTAGAAAATTAAAGTATAAACAGACAAGTTTAAATTACCCTGTTGATCTGTAGATGCAAATAAGCTTTGAAGATTCATAGGCCCAGATCCCTTTAAATTTTTACAGTATACTGAAAACTCATATTCTGTATATGGTTGCAGATCAGTTACATCAACTTCTGTTGTTAAATAACTAAAATATATTACCTCATTTTATATATAAAAAATATAAACTCCAGATAAACTCATTAATTCCTAAATACATACATACATACATACATGCATACATACATACATACATACATACATACATACATACATACATACATACATACATACAAACACACATACATACATACGTACATACATACATACATACATACATACATACATACATACATACATACATACATACATACATATATACATACATACATACATATGTACGTACGTACGTACATACGTATGTACGTACGTACATACATACATACATACATACATACATACATACATACATACATACATACATACATACATACATAGATACATACATACATATATACATACATACATACATACATACATATTAGGGGTAGTCATTTTGAGGAAATTTTTGATTCTAAAATACCATACACTCTAGATTTGGGATAAATGTTAATAAAACAACTCCCAAAAAAATTGAGCTTGACAGGACCACTTAATCCTTAAAAAAAATCTCAAAAACCATCAAAAATTGCTGATTTCACGATTTAACTACAAAACTTTGAAATTGTTTCTTTCCAGGTTGTTTATTTTTACTTTTGTATTTGATTAAAAATACATGGTATCATAGTTTTTTATCAAAAATTATTTTTATTTTTGTATTTTGAATTACAATTTTGAATTTGATTATAGTTTCATGTTATTGGATTAAATTTCAAGTTCAAATAATTTCAGTTATGTTCTGTTCACCACTTTTCTTTTTATCAAGAGAAGATAAGCTTTCAATAAATTTACTTTTAGAAAGTTTGAACGTCTTCAAGGTGTTCTGAAAGTCTTCCAGGTATTCTGAATGTCTTCCAGGTATTCTGGAAGTACACCGAGCTTTTTTAACAGTTAGCAATGTATTCTGTTTATCTCCATCATTGTTGTATTGGTGAATAAATTGCTGCATCATTCCAATAGATTTTTCTGAATGATCATTTACTACAATTAAAGATTTGGCATAGTTATGAAAGTTCTTAAAAAGCTTTAGGTAGTAAAGTGCTTTAGATAGGAACCTAGCATAATGAACTGCTCCGGGTTTTCTTAGTTTTACTGAAGACAGAGAAAAGTAACTCACAACAAGTTCTGCAAGCTCCTTTCTATCTTCTCTGATAAAATCTTTATTTTCTTTTCCCTTTGTGATGTATTTTTAACAAAAGTTTAAAGACTCTTGTGCGGCTTTCTCAAGAAAGGTTCCCCTTACTGCTTTCCAAACAAACTTTATTAGTTCTGTTTGATTGTAAATAAAATGAGGACATTCAAAAACAGTTTTTAATTTTTCAAACATAGGATTGGTCTGGTCCTGCGGAATGTTCATCTGAAACTGAATTACAAAAATGAACAATTGTATTCCTTAAGAAGGTCCATTACACCATTGCACTGATCTTCACCAAAGGATGACGCTAAAGGAGGTACTCTAAGCAGGTATGTTTCACCTTTAATATTTACAAGTACAGCCAGTCAATCAGTTTTAATTATTTTTCCTTTCTTTAGTTCATTTAATGTTTTGCCATCAAAATGTACTATGCATGGGTATGGGGATTCATTCATTGCTTGTTGAACATCTTTTGATATTATGCATATATTACGAATGGCATATTTCATTTTCCTAACTGCTGTAGACTGGCTAAATTTAAAATTTGTCAGATCAGCTGATTGAGTTGGAATTGCACCTGTAACTTTATGCAAAACACTTAGAGAAATCACACTGATTGTAACCATAAGAGCTACATTACCAGCAAAAATATCTATGGGAATTTCAGCAGTGACATTTTGTTGAAAAGGTTTTCTTTCAAACCACTCTCCAGGATTAAAATCAGAACCATGCAAGAAGTCCACACTAGTATGCATATCAATCTTAATATAGTTGTCCCCTCTAATTCTTTATATTGTTGTTTCACATGTGCTTACTCTTTCTGCTACTCACTGTTGCCTAAAAATATCAAAAGAATTTAATAATTATTAATTTAATTTAGTTATATGAAAAATAGTGATTAAACATTGTTATTTTTGTTTAGTAGTTTTTATTTTAAATCTTTTAAAGTGGATTGCAAATTGTATTTCTAAAATCAATTGTATTTTAATTGTATTTCTAAAATCAGGAATGCCAGCCCAAAATATTTTGTAAACTCTTGTTGCTGTTCCAAATCAACAGCGGATTCCCTTTTTTCATGCTTCTTAAGTTTTGAATATACATTGTCCAGATTTGAGAGATTTTTCACTAGACTTTGATCATTTAGCATAGAAAATCCAGCTTTAATCCATGGCTCTTTTACCTTGGCCAAAATACATTCACACTTACTTTCTATTGCACATCTTTGAAATTTTTTTTGAGAAGGACAAGCAAAAATAGTGACTTTTTTTGATGTTCTGGGCAAAAATGATTGTTTGTAAGCTAAGTGTTGCAGTATCTCCATCGCTGTTGGAAGCTGACACCCTTAATTACAAAAAAAAAGAAATAAAAAGTTTAGCTAAAGTTTTTAAGTCAACAGATTCATTATAAAACTAATTATTACCTTTTATTGCTGGTTTTGCTTCTTCGATAATGAATAGTTTTTTTAGACCTTAGCGTTCTTTCACTTTCTGTTTTCTGACCACGTTCTTCTTCTTCATACATATTTAAATTAATTTAATTTTTACTAATCTAAAAGATCAAAATTAAAATAATTATTGTAAAACAATTTACTACTGCAACAAATAGAACCATTGAATTGTTTTTTGAGCTACTATAATTGAATCTTGTCAAATTCCCACCTCATAGAAATTACTAAATTTTATTATAGATTTACATTATTGATGAAAAAAGTTAAGCATGAATATTCTGGACAATTAGTAAAAATCTTTTGTTAGAAACATAAATGCGGTAATTATATTTTCACACATTGTAATTTTTTCAAATCAAAATACAAAAATAAAATATTTTTTGAAAAAAACTATGATACCATGTATTTTTACTCAAATACATAGGTAAAAATAAACAACCCAAAAAAAAAAAAAAATCAAATTTTTGTAGTTAAACTTCCCCTGGACCTGTGAAATCAGCAATTTTTGATGGTTTTTGAGAATTTTTTTTCTAAAAAAGTGCTTAGGGGGTAAGGATTGAGTGGACCTGTTGAGCTTAAATTTTTTGGGAGTTGTTTTTTTAACATTTGTCCCAAATCTAGAGTGTATATTGACATTTTAATGATGTTGCCATTTAAAATTGTACAAAGTTTTAATTTTTTTATTTTAATTTGTGTGAGGTTAATATAGCAGGGCATTACCAAAAAATCACGCACATATTTTTTTTTTTTTTAAACATCTTTGCTTCCAACAAGGCTGCAAGCAACCACTAATTAGTGTTGGATGTTACTGGAAAAGAAAAGATGAAGATTGTAGAGCAAGATAACAATTGAAAGACGACTTAAAAGATTGCAAATTATATGAATCAGGAAAACAAAATGAAGGAAGCGAATTCCAAATAACTAATGTTCAAGGAAAATAACTAGACAAGTAAGAGTTTTTGGAGCACTTAGGAACAGTAACAGAAAAAGGATGAGACTTAATTGAATGACAAGTAACACGAGAATGAATTTTAGTAGATGGCACATATAGAAATCTCCTAACATGTCAACATTAGAACAGTGTTCTAATGTTGACATGTTAGGAGATATCAATGGTCAATATGTTGGTAGATGACAGTTTTCTATAAAAAAAAAAAAAGATTTTAGAGTGAAATTTTTTTGGTTCTTCGATGTAAAATTTTTTAATTGAATCATTCAGACCCTAGTTATGAACTCTGCCAATGTTGGCGCAATTTTTTTTTTTTTAGAACAAACAATTACTTATTGGGATGTTTGTAAATACATTTATAATCTACAAATGAGTTTGTAATAATTCTCTTAATTATTTCAATAAAGAGCATTGGGGAAGACTTTTTAAAGTCTTCATCGATTTTAATGATTGCTATATTTATATATATGCTATAATTCCTTAAACAAATGTTTTAAATATTTTTAAATTTTTACAATCATAGATAAAGCTGTAATAGCCACAGTTACCCAAATAAAAGAGGCACTTGCGGCTGCAAAAAAAGCAAGAATGGCAAAAAAGCTTACAAAAAAGACAAATAAGTAGTTTCTACAGGAAAATCTCTACAAACAAGCAATCCTACAATTTATTTGAAAGATTGTCTATTGAATCAATAGACCTAAAAATTTTAACCAATGAGAATGCATACTACCTTGATGACGATGAATTCAATGACACCAATACTGATACATCTGATGTGCTGAAAGGAAGATTCATAATCATAAAGGTTTATTGATGTGGAAAACAATTATGTCATAGATATATAGGAGCAGTTGTTAAAAAAACTGAAAGTGTGTATGAAGTGGAGTTTTACAAAATGAAAATCCTTTCTAATACATTTATAAAAACTAATGAAAAATCTGCAATTGTTGCCTATGTAGTGCTTGCATTTCAAGTTTCTACAAAGGACTATGTAGAAAAGGGTTTTGTTTTAAAGATGATACAATTTAAGTGTATTTTGAATGAGTACCAATTACAATAATTTAAAAATAAAAAAAAAACCATCATAATCAAAATTTCATATTTATTTATTTGATGTCAATAATCTTCATTATAGCAGCATTCAGAGTTGCTGTTCCAAAAATGCTAAAGTTAGCAACTTAGAATGATAAATTGAGAATTTGACGCAGTAAGTTCAGCATACTTAAAAAACAAACAAAAAAAATACCTCAATAAAACTTATAAGATTGATAAATTATTGATAGTCCTGCATAATAAAAAGTAATTATCCATTATAATAAATGCACTACACCCTATTGAAATATTAAAGGCTTTTGTTTCAAAAAATATAAAATGCCCTCTTTCAATAAAATTCAATAAAAAAAATCTTTCAACAAAAAAAATCTGAAAAAGAGAAAAATTTGTAAGTGTTAAGATTGGCTCTGATGTGATCTTGATAATAAACATCAAAAGCACTAACAAGGATACTACCTGTGTACATTTTGTTTTGACGATCTTAAAAACACACAAGACAGGACCAAATACCCTTAGCGCCTGGGTGCATAACTACACACATTTCAGTACCATAACCTCCTGCTGTTTGTTTATTGTCGGTTAACCCTTTTCCAATTAAGAATTGATCACGTATTGACTTTCTATTGCTTATAAAGGTCAAAAAGGTGCCCCAGAATTATGGGGGTGTTGACCCCATAACCCCTAATGATGATATATAACTTATAACACTGATTACAAATAACTAATAACAATGGTTATTTAATAATAATTAATAGCAACTTATTTTTTAGTACTTGTTTAGAATATCTATTTAGTATATATTTATCATTAACACCTCAACACTATTTCATCATCAGAAATGGACTAAATTAAAATCATATTTATTGTCTCTTTTCTTTTCATTAATTTCAAAATGTACTAATATTTTTAATGAACAATAATAAATAATAAAATAACTTTTGCTTCTCTAATTATAATAATATGCCTTGCTTTAGGAAGCAATCGTGGTTGAAAATTGACCTGAGCCAGGGCTGATTTTTGATAAAATATAGCCGGAGCTGGGGCCAGGTTTGTGACGATGGCTGAATAAATATTTATTCATCCTAATGTTTTTTTTTTATATTTAAAATTCATCTTATATTTAGTATACATATGCATATATGAACATCATTATGATCAACATGATAATCTTAATTACCATTGTCATCATCATCATCATCATCATCATCATCATCATCATCATCATCATCATCATCATCATCATCATCATCATCATCATCATCATCATCACCATCATCATCATCATCATCATCATCATCATCATCATCATCATTATCATCATCACCATTAGGTCTTGCCTATCCACCTTTACCATTTAATCTTCTCTCACACCACAGATCTATCTGATCATTTTCCTTTTGGCAAAAACTACACTATATAAATTTTAAAGTTAATATAAATATGTAAGGATATTGTATGCCAGTATCTAAATAAATAGCAAACATATATGTTTATATTCATATTATGTATGCATAAAATCTTTTTATGGGCCTGATCCTTCATAGGTCTGATTTTTTTACTTCTTCCTAGAATAGGGCTAGGTTATTTGGAAAGAAAATTTTGACTCTTGAATCTAATGGCCATATTCTTCATGTCATACCAGTTAAACAGATTAACCCATTGTTAAACATCCAAATCACTCTGCTTCCAATGCCAAAGTTAATTCTCAATTAATTACTACTACAGTTTTTGCTTTACACAAGATTTCCATTAAAGTCTTTAAAAAGTGTTTTGCAGAACTCTCTTAAATTTTTTCTAAATTATTAAAAAGTGCTAAATATGTGGTTCCAATTTTTAAAAACTCTAGAAAACACTTTGACATCTCCAACTATCCTACAATTAGTCTTTACTCTATTATTAGTTTCATTATATAAAGTTTTTGAAATTATCAAATCATTACTTTCTAACTGCAGTATTAAAGTTATTCTTGAAGACCTACAGTCTTCTCCATTTTGAATAACTTTAAGGGTACCACAAGATTTTATCTTTACTCCTATTTTTAAGTAACTCTATTTGCTGGCGACTCAACTTTATACTCTTGTCTTGATAAAAAGTCTTCACTTTTCGATTGCTTACAACAAGCCAAATTTTTATTTTGATTTGTGGATTTTAAGTCTGGACTTAAAATCCACAACTTTTGTTAGAAAACAAAACTTATTTATTTACTGCAAAAAAATATTGCAATATTGTTGGCATTCCTATATTGACAAATAACAACCCTCTTACTCTCAGACAAAGTCTAAAAGCACATTGTAAATGCAATTAGACCTGGTTTATTTGCCAAGCTTGAGACACTCTCTCATTGTTGTAAGGTTGCATTTCTTTCTTTTTTCTACAAATACTATCATGGTCAATACTCAAACGACCTATCATCTCTATGGCGATAAACTAAAACTCATTCTTTCTTGGCTTCTTATTCAACAAGTTGAACCCTTTACTCTATCTGTGCCTTCATGTTATAAAAACTTTCATTTTTTTTCCTTGTACATCAAAAAAACCTTATAACTCTGACCCATCTTTATGTTTTCCTTTTATATACAAACTACAATTTTTTAAGTTTTCAGTTAACCAATCCTAGCTTTTTAATCTTATTCTCTATTTTAAAGTAACTCACAACTTAATAGTGGTTGCTTGCAACCTTGTTGGAAGTAAATAAGAGTTTGATAGTATATAAATATATGCTATTATTTAATAAATAGTAAATGTAAGTAACAAAATTATAATATATAAAGTATTACAAACTTTTTCTAGCCCCGGATATATCAACCTCTGCTAAATTTTATAATTTTTCTGGGGCTGGAACCGGGTTGTCAAAAAGTCTCATTTTTTAGTTGGGGCTGGGATTCCAGTCACTTCCTACCTTGCCTAACTCTTAAAATCCAAAGCACAAATATTGATAAACAAAAAAGTACTTCCCTTTGAACTTTACTTTTTGTTTACAATGCAAGAGGTAGAGTTCTACCACTACACTGCTACCTTGTACTTTCCTACCACTACACTGCTACCTTGTAACTTAATTCTTTTATTTTGAACATACAGTTTGAACCAAAATATTCTTTTTATACATTTATTATTTAGTTTCAAACCAACAACTATAACCTTGGGTACAAACCTAGTCATCAGTCTCCTTGCAGTTTTGAAATTTTGTTTAAAGCTTTAAACTTTTTTAATAATTTTAATTTCTTACTCAACACAACTTGTGGATTGCATCATACTATCTCGTTTAGTATTTACGCAGAACATTCTGTTTTCTAGCACTCCCCATGATTTCCAATTAACATCATTCCATTTGACATGTATTGAAGTAGAACTTGTAAAATTTGCATATGTCACATTAGGAGCAACTGTTGGAACTAAAGAAATAACAGTTTCTAAGTGTTCTTATTTAATAAAATAATAATTTTTTTATAACTAGTAATAATTACTATACTTATAATACATAACAGTAAGTAACCATAATAACTATAACATTATGTTTATACTTGGTGAATATGTCTTTAAATTGATAGGAGCAGTTTTTTTTCCGCAACCACCAGAAGTGCAACCAGAAACTGTACAATTGTATGAAGATTCATAATTCAAGCCTGTAGCTTGACCTTCAAGTTGATTGTCAGAGATTTCAAATTGCCTTGAAAGTTTTGTTTTTAAATTTGTACAAATTAACAAATATTGGTCCACAATACCATGTCTTAAGCTATATTCAACTTCAAGCCAAGTAAAATTGAATTCTGATGGTGAAGCAACAATACCTGTGAAGTTCAGTGGTGCACCAGTAGGTTCTACAAAATTAAAAAAAAAAATTATTTATAAAAGAAAAAAAAGTTAAATTTAATAAAAATAATCCATAGGAAAAAAAATTATAATAACAATATAGAGTACTGTAGCAAAAAATTTAATAGAATCATAGTAGGCTAAGCATATGTTTTTAAAATTGAAACTTGATCTAAAGTTCTAGATATAATAACACAAATTTTAAAGGAGATAAAAAACACAATTTAGATTTTTGTTAAATGTATCCAGATGTAGAATTACTTAGTAATAATCTATTTTTTCAGTAAACAGATTTAAATGCCAGATCCATTTTATTAAATTTATTTTAAATTATTAAGAAAAATTAAAAACAATCTATTGTGTTACAAACATTATTTAATTATGCAATTATGTAAATCAATATATAAAATACAATGACGTATTATAGTTCTAGTATCAAGGTGGAAATTAGTAACACTTTTTGTTACATTTAGTTGGCCATCACTATTTTATATCAGTTTTTTATAAACTATTTGGTTTGTAATGAAAATATATAGAAGCTTTTATGCTGATTTGACTTATACAGTTGATTTTAATGAAATGAATTTTGTATTTACAACAATTGTGCTAATTATTGATTAATTGAAAATTTTTTTGTCTCTGAAATGCTAAAACTATGTTTTTGCATAGAGAAAACTTGAACAAGAAAAATTATGAGGAAAAAAAAAGCAGACAAGTTTGGAGAGTTTCAGCTATATTTAATTAGATGTGGTTAAAAGTTACAACATTTAACAAAAAAATTAAAATAATAAAAGTCTTCAAATAAATAACTTTAAAAAAAATTGTCTTCAGCTTTTTATTTAAAATAGGACTAGGTACTAGGTACTCTTTACTTTATCTAGTATATAAAAAAGTAGTCAACTAAAAATTTTACTTTTTCTAAAAGAATGTAAAGCATGTAGTATAGTATAAAAAAACCTGTTTTTTTGCAAAAAAAAAAATTTTGTGCAAAAAACAAAAAAAACAATGAAAAATATGTAAGGCTTTAAAAAAATTTAAACAAAATATTTTTTTGGCATTATTAAAATAACATTTTAATTACAAACAAATTTTTTAAATCTATGAAAATCTTCTTTCAAGGTTACACATACTTTTAAATACTTTTTTTTGACAGTATTAGGGATTTTACCCAAACTGCTAAACACTTGAACCCAAATATCTTAAGAACTTGGCGTGATTAAGAACTTGATGTGATGGTGAACTTGACGTGATGATAAACTTGACGCTTGATGGTGAAAAATATGCATTTTTAGCTCAAGTAAAAGAAATAGCATATCAACTAAACTTTAATAAGTTTAACTTTTTATTTTAATAAACCTTAATAAGTTTGCCTTTTTTTTTTTAATAAACTTTAATAAGTTTGACCTAATACTTTTTAAGCATTAATGAATTTGTTAAATAATTATAAATAACTCTATTAATTTTTAAATTTTTTACATGTTTAAAAGCATTATTTAAACACAATTTTAACATCTGTTAATCTTTATTTTATAAAAGAAAAATGTTTAAAAACCTTAAAAAAGCAAAACCTACCGCTTTCATCTGTTGTGATATTTATGAACATGTAATTCTCAAATACTGTCATTAAATATGATTCAACCTTGCAACGAACATTATAAACAGTAAAAGAAGTAAGATTGTTTATTGAATAACTTGTGAGATTACTACTTGTATTTTTCAACCAATTTAAACTATCAGATGGCTTATATGCACAAGAGTATCCAATAAAATTGCTTGAATTCTGCATCATAGTAACATTAAAAGCATCCCATGAAACTTTGAATGATGTCTTAGTTTGATCCACAGTTGTTTGCGGGAACGGTACTAAAAAAAACAAATTTTTTATTTTTTTCCCTATTTTACAACTTATGAATTAACTTACTCAGATTATCAATGAATATCACAATTGACACAATTATACTTAAACAATTGACTTATTGTTATTATTGTTATTATAATTGACTTATTACTTATTGTCTCTATTTATACCAGAGATACAAAGTCCCAAAAGAACTCATTTATACTCATATAAAAGGATTTATACATTATCATAAGCACAATAAAATTCTCAAGCGTGTAAAAAAACAAAAAAATGTATGCATGTCGCTTTGAATTAACTTACTTTAGTCTATTAGGAAATATTCTAGTTAAATAAATTTAAAGAAAAGATAAAGGAGCATAAAACTATATAAATTATTGCATCATCAGTATGACTTTTTTTTCGACTTCTACTTCAAGAGCATTAAGACGTGTATTTGCTGCAAAAGACTTAAATTACTAAAAACTTATTTAATTCATTATTTTTTTGAAATAGTTCTTTCTTTATATTTATTTGAGATTCCTTCTCTAGTTTCTTTTTTTTTTTTTACTGTTTCTACTATTCTTGATTGATTTACAAGTCAGGGTTTATGTTTTAGTCGCCTTGTTTTTTCTTGCCTTTGTCATTTTTTTTTTTTTTTTATATATGTATTTTTTTTTGCTTTAGCTGTCTGTTTAGTTTGATTTGTTATTAATTTATCTATTTATTTTTTATTTTTTGTTTTTGAAATAAGGAAAACATATATATAAATATATAAATTAATAAATATTTTGTTTACAAACTTGGTTTCTCTAGACATAAAAATTAATTTAGTAAGGTTTTTGTTACATTTTTCTCTTTGTAAATTTGTTTAAATTAAGCAACCATTAAATTTTATTTTTGCAATTATCTTAATGTGAATGTCATTTATGCTTCTTTGTTTTAAAGTACTGAAACATTTACTTTCGCAAATTGTTTTAAAACTTGTAAATACACTATAAAAATATTTACATATTGTATTGCAATTAATATTATCGATCTCTAATAATGGTGAACTCTCAAACTGTTCAGGGGGAATGGTAAACTCTCAAACTGTTCAGGGGGAATTGAATGAACTCTCAAACTGTTCAGGGGGAATTGAATGAACTCTCAAACTGTTCAGGGGGAATTGAATGAACTCTCAAACTGTTCAGGGGGAATTGAATGAACTCTCAAACTGTTCAGGGGGAATTGAATGAACTCTCAAACTGTTCAGGGGGAATTGAATGAACTCTCAAACTGTTCAGGGGGAATTGAATGAACTCTCAAACTGTTCAGGGGGAATTGAATGCTTTTAAAATAGAGCATGATAAGCAGATTGATGAAATGATGAATAAAGTTTTTAAATTAGAACTTAAATTAACCAAAAAAAACAATAAAATTTCCGATTTAGAAAAAAGAGTTGAGTCTATGGAAGAGAATTTCACAGATTTCCCAACACTTAAAAATTCCGGATGGATTACAGAATGCGGGGTGAGTAAAAAGCAATCACCAGATTATATTGAAGTGCTTTCTTTTTTTTAAATGATAAAATTTTTCAACAGTAACTTAGGCAATAGAATAGGAAAAATTAGATTAAATAAAATAGAGATTGAATAAAATACAGACAAATAACATAACCAGTAAATAAAAATATGTGTTGATCAACCATTAAACACAAAAGGAAGATTTAGCTTTACAACTAAGTAGTGCGTTGAGATAAGCTAAGTAGTGCGTTGAGATAAGCTAAGTAGTGCGTTGAGATAAGCTAAGTAGTGCGTTGAGATAAGCTAAGTAGTGCGTTGAGCTAAGTAGTGCGTTGAGATAAGTAGTGCGTTGAGCTAAGTAGTGCGTTGAGATAAGTAGTGCGTTGAGATAAGTAGTGCGTTGAGATAAGTAGTGCGTTGAGCTAAGTAGTGCGTTGAGATTGAAAGCTTGTTCAAATTTTAATTAGCAGATTTAAAATTTTCTTTAAAATTAGCAGATTTAAAAGACAGATCTAAAATTTACATAAAATCAATACTCAAAAAAAATTATAAACAATAATAATAACAAATTCAAAATCATACTGTCATTATTAATGAACTTTTTTGTTTTTAATTATAAAATAAAATATTTAGTTTATTTCAACACTTTTTGGATATTAACTTTTTGCTTTTGGTGTCTGCATCAAGCATAAGCAAAAGCTAGAAGTAGTCAGGGATAAGTCTGTTTTAAATGTGTTTTAAGTCTGACTTACACTCCTTATCTTAAGGCTATAGGTTGAGTATAGTCTAGAGATAGTGTTAGAATAAAAATATTTATCCTTAGTAAATTTTGACAGCAACTGGTTTATGTTTTTTTTAAAAGAATGCTAGACATAGAGGTAAGCAGAAAACTTCTGTTAAATAGTTTTGTAAACCTTGTTGGTCTTGTAAACTTTTAAGTGAATTGCTTCCATCAATCCTTTAGAAATATTAATTACATTTAAAGTAACTTTTCATCATTAGCATATGATTATTAATCAATTCACTCACTCATCATGAAACCAGGTCATGCTTTGAAACCTCTGAATACTTTTTGAAGTACTATCATTTAGCACTTCTTTATTATTCTTTTTTTCTTGTATTAGAATATTCTCTTTTCAATGTTGTTTTTGATTTCTTGCCTTTTATTATCTATCAGCCAATATTGTTGTCATTTTTAATTGCTTAGAACCAGCCAATGTTGAACCTGATCTTTCTTCCATGACAGTTTGGGCATTGATTGTGGTTTTAAACTTTAAACAAAATTCAGTTTTTTACTGCTAATATTTATTGCAATATATATATATATATATATATATACATATATATATATATATATATATATATATATATATATATATATATATATATATATATATATATATATATATATATAGTATATATATATATATATATGTATATATATATATATATATATATATATATATATATATATATATATATATATATATATATATATATATATATATATATATATATATATATATATATAACATCAAACCTAATGTTGTTCATAGTTGTATATGTTATTATTAAGTTGATATTGTTCAGTAAAAATATATCACTAAATTTATTTGGTACTAATTTTATATTGTTATTGCAATGCTTATTAATTATGTTGCTGAAAAAGACTTAAATGACTGTTCATCATGTCTGTTAGAAACTTTAAACTGAACACTTTGAAGTTTAAAAAGATTTTATTTTGAGTATTTTATTTAATATTATATGAGGTTAATAAAATCAGATTATTTAAATAAGTTCATCAGTTTTTCATAAATTTTATTTTATTGCATAGTTTTAGTGCCCTGCAAAAAAATCAATGATGAAAACTTTGTAGGCTGTACACGGTTAGCACGGATCCTTATAATGCCTAACTAGCTGTCCCAAGAACGCCACTTATGCAGAAAGTTATCGTACACATCAAGGTACCCTGTTATGCAAATTTTGAAATAATTTAATTTTGTCCGCGGAAAATAATTTAATTTGAATGTTCAAATTAAGTCAAATTTTGACTTCATAGTGCGCCAATAAAAACACTTGTAGAATTTGAACTACTTAAAACAATTTGATAAAAATTGGTGTAAATGTAGCCAATAGTCACACCAAACTCAGGACAAAATCAGTCTGATTGGATGACTGGTGTAGGATTTATTGCAGTTTTAGTTTTGTCAGTTTTTTGCTACTTATACCTCAAAGCGTTACTGATTACTCTGAAATTCGGTCACTATTTTTAAAATAATGATTACATGATTGTTCTACTATGTAGTACCAACAATTTTGTTATAATTATTTTATTGGTACATGTACAGTTTTCATTTTATAGACCAAAATAGTGATTTGCTACTTAAAGCGTGATTTAAATAGTCTTATGCCAATGGCATTGAAACGGCCTTCAAAGTGGAGGGGGTCAACCCCTCAATTTCTAAAATAAAATCCATAATTTCTAAAATAATTGCCTATATTTCAAAAACAAAAGGTCCTCGCAAAAAAAAAGTAGAGAAGAACATGATCCCCTCGCCTCCCCGGCGTTGACGGCCATGTATGCTTCGCTTGAATATACCAAGGTATAAACTGCTGCCAAAAAAAAAAGCCAAAAAAAAATGCAAAACCTGGTCAAAGGACTACCAGTCCTTTGACCAGGTTTTGCATCTCCTGAAATATTTTGTATTGACCTCCTTAAATACATTTACTTTTAAAATGAAGTCAAAACTATTTATACCTTATTTTTTACGTTGTATTACCATCAAATATCTAATTACATTTTAAGAAATGTTTTTTTGATTTTCTCCACCTAAAGTTTATTTATAAATAGCTCAATGTACTCTTTTAATACAAATACTCTATAATACTACTTTTAAAGATGGTGAAAATACTCATTATACGCCGTAAAATATGAATTTCAGCAGCCTAATTTCTAATAACTCAAATGATGTTCTTTAAAGATGCTTACTTTTAGATCAATTATGCAGCGTAACAATCTTTCTTTGTACTCCGGATGATTATTATTTCGCTTATACCTCGACCAATGTTGATAAAAATCTTGATGAGAACTTTTCGACAGTTTGTTCACTATAGGGCCCCAAGGGGGATCCTTTGTGACTGATGAAATCTTTGATGTGGTAGAAGATGACGTGAATTTTGGGTGTTACGCTTGCACCAGTTATCATTAGGTAACATTTTTTGAAATATTTAATATTTTCAGTGAAATCCGGCTAAAGGATGTATTCAAAGCAAGCCTTGACAACTAAATTTAAACTTTTAAATGCTTCAATTATGCACACAATATTGGGAACCATGTTTGTCAGTTTTAAGGATCTTGAAAAGATAGTTGACAACTCCTAAGAGGAGATGCAATTCCATCGGTGTAATGATTTCCAAAATCAGAACATTGACAGGCCCGCAGATGATTGGCTTTTGAATGACATTGCCAAACAGTTTTGCATTAGCAACAACCCCCCCAGATTGCTGAAAAAACTCAAAGC